ACATAATTAGAATTTTTGTTATTTTTTTTTTATTTTGTTTAATGAACATGCCGACAATTATTACTATCAGTTTGAAAAATTAAAATTATTTCCCAACACTTTCAATAGTAATTTTTTAACTCATAAATTTAGACTATGAGTACGATAATAGTATAACACTTAAATCCATAGAAGTATGTCAACCACAAAAAACTTATTACATATTACATACAGAATTGAGCTTTATATATTAGATTAATGGGTTTAATGATATATTTTTAATACCTTTTATTGTGCTGGAATTTTAATTTTTGTGAAAAACAATTTTTACAGTTGTTTCTTTTTGTTTCAGTAACGGATCTAATAATGATTAAAATCTGTTTTTGTTTACATTTTACAATGTCTGACTGTTTGGTTATAGTTCAGATTTGGTCTATATGACATATTGCATACGACTGTAAATGTGTGTCTTAAGTTGATAAGAAAAATATGTAACAGTAAATTTGTCTTATGTGTGTCTTAAGGTCTTAACTAATATGACATATATGTTAACATAATTGTTTGTCTTCGGTGTGTCTTTTGTTAATATGACAAATATTGGACTGTAAATGTTTGTCTAGGTGTGTCTTAAGTTGATATGCACAAACATTATGTTATTGTAAATTTATATCTAGGTGTGTCTTGGGTTGAAATGCACAAACATCATGTTATTGTAAATTTATATCTATGTGTGTCCTGGGTTGATATGCACAAACATCATGTTATTGTAAATTTATATCTAGGTGTGTCTTGGGTTGATATGCACAAACATCATGTTATTGTAAATTTATATCTAGGTGTGTCTTGGGTTGATATGCACAAACATCATGTTATTGTAAATTTATATCTAGGTGTGTCTTGGGTTGATATGCAAAAACATCATGTTTTTGTAAATTTATATCTAGGTGTGTCCTGGGTTGATATGCACAAACTAGCCGAGCGAGTTCTCCTGGAGCACCTGGTCAAGCTTGGCATCCTCCAGGGTGACCTTGATGAAATGATGAAGGTCAGGCTGCCAGCCGTGTTCATGCCTCATGGTCTAGGTCATTTTCTGGGCATTGACACACACGACTGTGGTGGTTACCCTCAGGTAAACAAAATGTTGGATGTCATTTTGCTATGGTTATCCTTAGGTCATCAAAATAAGTCAGGGATAATTTTTTACTGTTATAACTTATACAATAGCCATGAAATCTAGATACGGGATTATTAGCTCTTCCATAGGCATCCAGGAAATTTCCTCTCAGCCAGTTAGCACTATCCCAAATTAGAAATAACCTTATTTGTGTTTTAACTCAATTGCTAAATAATCAATTGTATTATTTTTATCTTAAAACTTACACAATGAATGGTTCACCATGCCCTATCTTAAGCAACTATTCTTTAAAAATCATTAACACATTCACATGGAATGTATTTAGCCCACCAAAAGAAGAAAAAAATAACGTTCTAAGTAAAAGATAGGTTAACCAGATAAGAAATTCAAACATGCAGTAAATTAAAAATAAACAAAACGTGTACAAATATAGGGTGTTGAGAGAATCAATGAGCCAGGCCTGAGGTCCCTGCGTACAGCCAGAATCCTCCAGACTCGGATGGTGATAACAATAGAGCCTGGCTGCTACTTCATCGACCACGTGAGTTCCTTTTTTTTTCTTCCCCAGACAAGCTGATAACTTCAATCACTTTTAGAGAGATAAGCAGATTTTCATCTTACAGCTTTCAAAGTTGTTTTACAAGACAATTTAGGACAATTTTTAGCAATTTTTTTTATTTAAAAATATCTGTTGATTGCAATTCGCTCAACCAACTCAGACAATTTTATATTTTAGTTGAACATATCAAACATTTTTGCTGAACATTATTATAGATAGATTGAGTAATTTCAGTGGCTATATTAATAATTAGAATGTTTCATAACAAAGTACTTTAATGAAAGAGATTTTCATTTCCTCAGTTACTGGATGCTGCTTTAAATGATGAAAGACACAAGAAGTTTATTGTGGAGGAGGTTCTCAGAAGGTTCAGGAGATTTGGAGGGGTGAGTAACTCTTAAGTATAATAGGTTATTCATACTTGCTTTAAATAACTTTGTTAAAAAAAATTATAAATTATAAAATGAGCAATATTTTTGGTGTAAGTAGCTACTCTGTGAATCTACTAGACCTTTAAAACTTATCTCTCAGGAATACTATCATATCTCATATACAATTAGTCCTGGAAGCCTATCCATAATCTAAATAAACTGTATTTCAAAACTAATTTGCATGTTTAAAATGATTAACTATGTTTATTTTTATTTTAAAAATTATGAATGTAATTTAAATTTGTGGTACACTATACATTAATGTATTAATTTTTCTTACTGTTAGTATAGCTTTGAGTTTGGGTTGTAATAAGACAAATGACACCCATTATTATCAAATAAAACCATGAAGACATACATTTTCCTTCATAACACCATAATGAAACATAATTATATGCTGGTTTAGAAGTTCTGATTGAATTATTGGTGAGGGTTAGTGTTTAGAAATACTCAATAATTTTTTTATTCTGGGTTTGATGTTTGAAATTTCTGATCAAAGTATTTTTAAATTTTCCTAATAATAATTTAGACATGTGTCAACTGAAAAAAAAACTGTTATTGTTCTTGTTTAGGTGAGAATTGAAGATGATATTGCTATTACTGAGACGGGAGTGAAAGTTTTGACTTGTGTACCTCGCACTGTGGAGGAGATAGAAAGGGTCATGGCAGAGGGGAGACAACAGCACCAGCCGCTGCCCCAGCACCAGAAACAAGAGGCAACAGAGCAGTAGTTATCTGCTCCTGTATGGCAGCCATCACTGTGATCTTTCAAATGTAGAAGTATTATTGTTACTGAATTTACTTTAATAAAATAATAATTTTACAGTGTATTTTTATTGAGTTATGACACATTGTCCAACATGTTGCCCAATTATTGTTGATCATACTTATCTATTGCAAGTCAGAACCATATTAAGTCAGATATTATCTACTATTCTGCTTTACATATAACCAGATGGCTTTTGTCAACAAAGAAATTATTTTTTTATTTTAATTAAATGATTAACTAGGTTTATCTTTTATTTAAATTTCTTACATTTAGTATTAAACAAATTTCTTAAATATTTTATAGATGTGTTTTTATTTAATACATTTTAATGGACAGGCTCTATTGTTCTTTTGTCTCATTGTTCTTAGTTAAGTGATAAAGTTTAATTATTGATTGGGATTCAACTGTGTATGTGTTACTAAAATCATTTCTAGAGAATAGTGTATTGGGTTTATTTTTAATTTATTCAAAACTTTTACATAACAATTCTATTCAATTTTTTCTTAATGCATTTTTTCTTTATTTGCTGAATAAAATGTGTTGAAGAAAAGTGATTTTAATTACAAAGTAGTTAAATATTTTTGAGATAACTGTTAACTATTGCACACCTAAATTGGAGATAAATTTTTGAAGCCTAAGAACAAAAACATTCCCACTGACAAGTCTAGTAAAACACTATTGGTTTCTTTATTCATATTCTGTATTTTAGTCTACTTTTCTCTATTCTGCATGGCATCCCTGAGTCCACCCAGGTCTGATGGTTACCTACTCTACTTCATCTGCCCCATGTGTCATAGGCACAAACGGGAAAAGATGATAATGGTTTAAGTCTAAGACATCTCAAAACTTTAGCTAAAAAATAATACACTTTATATTATTATTTATTGCTCATAATTTATTTAGGCTTAGTTAATTTGGCCATACATACTCTTAAAATAGCTTTAATAATTGGTTGTTATTTAAGATTTGTTCTATCATAAATGAGATAGTAAATATTAAAATTTACTCGTTATTGGGATCAACGGATTTAATAACTTGATTGAATTTTGTAAAAAAAAAATTGAGAAAAAATAAAATATTTTTTTACTGACTGGTTTTTAAATATTCTTTATGGGAAGTAGCACCCACTTTAGTTCATGTGAACGTTGCACAACTTACAAAGGGAAATAACCTTTGTAACCTGAATACTTATAACAAAACTGCGTTCCAAAGAAGTATTTTAAATGCTTTATTCGACTTTAGTCTACCAGGCATAATACAGGGACAAAGCATATTCTTGTGCTGTGCGGTCTCTCTGTTCTGCAATATTTGAAATGAAAAAGCTATAACAAGTGACTTTAGTGATGCTGAACTGAAAGACCGCTGGGTCCAGCACTTCCAGGAGATGTTGAATAGGTCCCCTCCTCCGTAAATTCCCAGACACATCACCAGCTTGAGAAGAGCGATAAGTTAACACAGGTCCAACTAAAAGTGAAGCCATTATATACATCAAGGATTCAGAATATTCTAGAAAATTATGACACAATATTATCTGTCACCAGGTGCTAAGGAGAATTATGCTAGAGGCCTTTGACAAGAAATTAAGACAAGAACACGCAGGCTTTAGCCACGCATAGTTATGGACAGAGTTTCTTACAGGCTTTTTTTCTCCGGGGGGGGGGGGGGGCGCACTTGAAATTTTCGGGGAGTCGACCACCGACGTTAATAAGGGACAGATAATTGGGTGGGTCTTAGAGCTAATTTTTAATTAGTAGCATAGGATGTCGAACTAATATCTCAGAATTAACAAGAAGCAGAAAATTATAGCAAAGATTAAAAACCATTGTAAACATTAATCTCTTAAATGCTTTAAAAATTTTGCTAGTTTTGGTAAAATCATTGGTTTCATTAATAGTTTTACCATTTAAAAGAATTAGTTTGGTTTTTTCTTAGTGATTGTAAAAAGTGATTATTAGACAATATTAGGTCTATATCTGTTTTTATACTCCTTCTGTTTTACATATTACAATGAGCTGCGTTGTTTATCTTTACATATCATAATCATGTGACTGATAACATGATTTTCTTACTAGTTGTTACAGTACCATTGTAAAAAAAAAATGTAATCTTTAGTTTATTGTTATTACTGTTGACTATGATTATTCACCTGAGTTTGGGAGTTAACTTTTAACAACTTGAGTAGCTATAAATAGAAGCAATCAAGACTATGGCGTCCGGGAAAACAAAGTAATTTTTAAATTTGATTATTATAATAGCTTAATTATTATTTTTTTTAAATCAAAATTTAATTTCACAGAAATATATTTATTATTTTAACTGGAGACTATGATTGCGTATATATATGTGTATATATATATATATATATATATATATATATATATATATATATATATATATATATATATATATATATATATATAGCATATCATGGGTGAGCTTTTTAACAGTTGCTGTAAAATAGCCGCCTCCCTCGAGAATCTTGCATTCGTTTTTGTCACAAATTTCAATTTATAATTCTAGTTGCTAATATTCCAAACTAGTTTACTAATATAAAATTGATACAATTTTAAAAGGTCTGACTTTTTTTTTTTAGTTTCTACCCTGATGGCGCCCCGTAAGGTCAGCCTCCACCCATCCCCCATCCCCCTCCCCATGCCCCTACTGCCTATATGAATAGTGAGTAATATTAAAAAGCATTTTCCGTGTTCAGCCCAGCATTCTGCCGAGGAGATCATACCCATGAAATCCCCATGGAACTTTTCAAACAAAATCGTGCTAGACTGTGCGAGAGGTTGAAAGCTACTGGAAAAGTTCCAGAAAAATCATATGTCCTGCTTCAGGGTGGGGTTGCTGAAACACGTAATGACACAGATCATGAGCCTCTCTTTCGTCAAGTAATTTGTTCACTTTTCTGTGACACAATATTGTAATAGATTGACGACAGAAGCCTGTGGTTGTATATAACACATTTATTTGGGTCTAACTACCACACGATGGTAACACACAGAGAGGACGGAAGGAAGTACACAAGGGACATCACTCAAGATAACAATATTATAAATATAACTAATACAGAAGAGTGAGTTCCCTTGACCTCACAATTATTTCAATCTATTACATCCCTTTACCCTTAGAACACAATAACACATCTCTCAATAGAACAATTGATAGTATCCTAAAATCACCAATTATATTGTAACATGAACACTATGGTAGATTACATCCTTGCAAACAATGCACAATATGCTACAACATAATCAAGATACAAAACAATGATGTCAAAGTCCTTTTGACCCTTAAAATCATAGGTCTAACTTATTTGGGACCTTGATTGTCCTGTATGACCTTCTCAGTGGCTTTTGATTTGGTGACTCAATATTCTGACCATATGGATTCTCTATCTCAGGAGGTCTAGGATTTAAATCATTAACTCCAGAATTTACATTTTCTGACTCTAGACAACTTGGTTCACTCATATCAACAGAACTTGGTTGTGGAACAAACTGAGTTGGTGTGAACTGATCAGATTTGGTGGGATTGACAGATTCACACTTATTATCTGCACAAGTTATTTTTAACTGGTCTGCATGTCTACGGACAATAAGTCCATCATTTGTTTTTACTTTATAAGACACAGGTCCTGTACATTGAACAATTTGACCTGGTATCCATTTTTCCTTTCTCCCATAATTTCTTAGATACACATTCTCATTAACACCAAATTCTCTTTCAATGGGTGTTCTGTCATGATTTACTTTTTGAATTGGCATCTGAAAGTATTATGCTATTATTCAGATCCAGGTTTGTATTTCAATTCATAATTGTATGCAGTTAGTGTGATAGCCCATCTTTGAATTCTTGGTGAGGCATGCTCAGGTATGGTTTTGTTTTCTCCAAATAAACCTAGCAATGGTTTATGATCTGTAAAGATGGTGAACTTCCTACCAAACAGAAACTTATGAAATTTCTTAACACCAAAAATGATGCCTAAGCCTTCCCTATCTAACTGAGAATAATTTTTCTCAGCCTGGTTCAAAGATCTACTGGCAAAAGCAATGGGTCTGTCACCCTTCTCATCCATGTGGGACAAGACTGCTCCTACACCATCTGGTGAAGCATCACATGTTAATATAAGTCTTTTCCCTGGGTCATAGTGAGTTAGTAAGGTGTCAGCAGACAAAGCCTCTTTTGCTGTATTAAAAGCAGTATCTTGTTGTTTACCCCAGTGCCAAGTTGCATTTTTCTGTAGCAGCTTGTACAGTGGTGATAGTTTACCAGACAGATTTCCTATGAACTTTGCATAGTAATTTATCAAGCCCAAAAAAGCTCTTAGTTGTTGGGTATTTTCAGGTTTGGGTGCTTCTTTAATGGCTTTTGTTTTCTCAGGTTGAGGTCTGATGCCTTGGTTGCTTAATATATAACCAAGAAAACTAATTTCTGTCAACATGAATTGACATTTATCTTTGTTTATCTTTAAACCTTTTTCACCAACAATTTTCAATACTTTATCAAGTGTTTTAAGATGTTCAGTGTCATTCTTACCAGTTATGTACACATTGTCAAAGTACACACAAACATTTGGAATGTCCTTAAAAATACTGTCCATGACAGCTTGGAAAATTCCAGGGCTAGATGATATGCCAAAACATAGTCTTTCATATTGGTAGAGTCCTTTATGTGTGTTTATTGTCGTATAGACTTTTGAATCTGGATGCAGTTCTAGTTGAGTGTAAGCATGACTAAAGTCTAATTCAGTGAATTTGTCTCCTCCTGCCAAATTCAAAGAAATTTCCTCAATGTTAGGTATAGGGTACCTATTTAGCTCTATTTGCTTATTCAGTGTAGTTTTATAATCTCCACAAATTCTTATAGAACCATCCTTCTTTAACACTGGCACAATGGGTGTCGCCCAATCGGAATAGTCTACCTTCTTTATAATGCCATTAGATTCCAATCTACTTAGCTCATTTTCAATTTTATTCCTCATTGCATAAGGTGGAACTCTAGCTTTGCAGTATCTTGGATTTGTGTCTTTAATGCTTAACTTCACTGTTCTATCATTTAGTAAACCTGAATTACCAAAAACACATTTATTTTCAGATATTACTTTATCTAGTGAAGTAAGACTAGATTCTTTTACATTCTTCAATGAACAAATACTCTCCCAATTTAACTTAAGATCACTTAACCAGTTCCTACCTAGTAATGGCGGTCCATTTCCTTCAACCACAAGAAGAGGAAGTTTAACACTTTGACCATTATAACTTACATGAACCATACACTCTCCTATTACCGGAACATTGTCACCAGTGTATGTTGTTAGACACTTGTGACATGGCTGTAGAGGCACTGATCCTCCTGTGACAGCGTCAAAATCTTTCTTTGTTATGACTGTTAGAGATGCTCCAGTGTCAAGTTGGAAGCTGATGCTCTTACCGTTGATATTAACTTGTACATTGATGGGAGCATGACTTATTGATTTAACAGAGAACAGGTTGAAATCCGGCTGCAAATCAATTTGAGCATTTTCACAGGTAGAGTGGTTCATTGGTTGGGTTAGGTAGTCTTGGTGAGAGTTAACATAGTGTTGCCTTTGGTTGCGGTACTGTCTTGACTGGCTAGATTTAGCAACAGACGAAGACTTTGCAAAGCAGGCCTTGGCAATGTGACCTTGCTTACTGCACTTATAACAAGTTGCTAACTTGAACTTGCACCGATGAGATGCATGGGGACCTTTGCATCGATGACATTTTTGATAATTATTACTAGATTTAGATCTAGGATTTGAACGAGCAGGGTGTTTAGCATAAGTTGGAATGCTCTGTTGGGGTTGATGTTTATTGACTAACCTGCTGTTTACTGCATGGATCTCTGAAGGTGCTAAAGATCTCGCCGCATCAGATGACTGCTGGATTGAAGTTGCGAGTTGTATTGCTTTTTCTAATTTTAGATCTGACTCGAGCAGCAACTTTCTTTGAATATCAGGGCTGTTTACACCTGTCACAAACTTTTCACACAGTCTGTCAGACAGCGTATCGCCGAATTCACAAAATTTACTTAAATGACGTAAAGCAGCAACATATTCTGATATTGACTCGTTTGGTTGACGAGTCCTACTGTCAAATCTAGCTCGACATAGAAACTTTGATGGGGTAGGCGCATGGTGGTCTGTTAGCAAGTTGCTCAGCTCGTTAAAGCTCTTGGTATCTGGACTAGCTGGTGCGCATAAGTCCTTTAGTAGCCTGAATTGTTGAGGCCCTATGACTGTTAACAAAACAGCTCTCTTTTTGGCTTCTATCGTCACGTCGTTAGCTTCTAGGTAAAAGCTTAACCTCTCTAGGTAATCTTGAATGATTTCATCATTCGCATCAAATTCTTTTATTTGGCCATACAGCGCCATAATTCTAGAAATAATTAGCTAATAAGCTCTAGCAAACCTCTTTTTTGCGTAGGTAGGTGCTCTTTCTAGTAGATGTTTATCCTTCGTCGCCAGTTGTAATAGATTGACGACAGAAGCCTGTGGTTGTATATAACACATTTATTTGGGTCTAACTACCTCACGATGGTAACACACAGAGAGGACGGAAGGAAGTACACAAGGGACATCACTCAAGATAACAATATTATAAATATAACTAATACAGAAGAGTGAGTTCCCTTGACCTCACAATTATTTCAATCTATTACAAATATTATGAAGCTTATATTTTTATGTTAGCTGGCATGGGCGTATGATTGTAATTCATTAATGAAATTGCTATCCCAATCAACAGTACAGGCAGACAGAGGCGTAGCGAGGGGGGGGGGGGGGCGGGAATGCTAACTGCACCGAGTGACACCATTTAGGGGGGGGTGACACCAAGACAAAAAATAGCAATATATATAGAGAAAAATGATAATTCCACTTTATTAAGTGTTAAATAGTGTTTTAAGAGGTGCAAATTGAAAATTTGAGAGGGTGGGGGTGCAAATCGAAAGTTTGAAGGGGGTGCTAATCGAAAGTTGAAAGTTTGTCCCCTGGGGATCGCTACACCTCTGGGGGGGTGACACCATTAAGTGCCGCACCGGGTGACACCCGACCTCGCAACGCCACTGCAGGCAGGAGAATCTAACTCTGTGTTGCCCTCATAGTAAATATAGAAAACTATTTGACTTTATTTTAACTTTCATAAACAAAAATCTTAACAAAAAAAATTTTTCTGTCCTTTAATATATTAAATTTTAAAAATTCAGGAATCATTTTTTCATTGGGCCTTTGGTGTGGAGGAGCCAGACTTTTATGGTGCTATTGAAGTAGATACAGGAAAAGCTATTTTGTTTCCACCTCATTTGCCCGAATCTTACGCAGTTTTGATGGGAAAGTAAGATGTTTGCATATGTGTGGAGGTTGTTGTTAAGTAATGAATAGCTGCTCAAGATTTGTATTGGTAAAATCTTTTTATTTAATTTTTTGTATTAATAATAGTATAATTTAAAACCAGAAATCAGGTATTCAACAAACAATTTTTCTGAACCTTGTAACATTTAGGTCCTTGTAAAAAATATTTGATCAAACTTTTTGACTAGGCTTTTAACAGAAGACGATTTCAAACACTTGTACTCAGTTGATGAAGTTCATTTTGCCAATAAGGTAGTAATTTAAAAATAACTACTTAATTTGGATTACTAATTGCTTATATCTTAGTTTTTGTAGATCTTTTTCCATCAAGCAACTTACAAAGTAATTTACATTAAGCTTTTAATATATGAAACTTTTAATGGTAAAATTTAATTAATATTGTTTTTTAATTTTATTAAAACTTAAAACTGCTGTTTCAGATTTCTAATGTTTTGAAGGGAAAAGATTCCTCTCTTCTATTAACCCTGGTAAGGTTAAAAGTGTCTAAATGAAGATGTAGTCAAAACTGTTGCACTTACTATTTAAAATATAATGTTAATATAAATAGTGTGTATTTTAATACTAAGTGAAGACCATAAGGTTAGATGAAAATTAAGAAGAAAACATAATGAAAATAAGGGTAATGTTTAAATAATTCGAATTTTACGTCAACAACACAATGATTTTTTTCGGGGACTGTTTTTAATGTTCAAAATATTAAAAACAATAAAATAAACTTTGCTCAAACCATTTTTAAAATCATTTGTTCTCATAACTCCAGCATGGTTTAAATACAGACAGTGGCAAGTACAGCAATGAAGCAGTTTTTGAAGGCATTGCAGAGTTAGTCCTTCCAACTATAAAATAATCTAGAAAATACTTTAAATATATATATATATATATATATATATATATATATATATATATATATATATATATATATATATATATATATATATAAATTACAATAGCAAATTAATTTTGTTTAATTTTAAATTGATTAGATTTAATGTCAACAATGAGATTCTACATCCAGAAATCACTGAATGGTAAAAAAAACTTGCGGGATTATTTCAGTTAACTTATTTTTATTAAATATAATATTCAATGCTTAATGCGTACAATTTTGTTGCTCTTAAGAATTGCATTTTTAAAATGTGCCTTTGTTAACAGCCGTGTCTTTAAAAGTAATCTAGAACTTCAGGCTCTACGTTATGCAAATAAAATCAGTAGTGAAGCTCATATTGAGGTAAGTGGAAATCTCTCTTAAAACTTGTAATGCTTTTAATGGGTATTCAAAGCTAAATAAGTTATCAGTTTATCTAAAGCTTGGCCAGATTAAAAAATATCGGTTCATAAAAATAATTTTCAAACCCTTGTAACATTAATTCCTTAACTTTATTTTCTGCTGTCTGGTTTACAAATATTTAATACATTTATTTTAAGTTTATTGTGATGTAATGTAAACCTTGATTTTTTCCAACACATATAGGTGATGAAGAATGTCAGACCAGGAATGTACGAGTACCAAGCAGAAAGGTTTGCTGTCATTGTCTGTATGAAACTTGTTGCTCATTACTTATTATGATAACACTGTGTTGTTCAATCATACATCTCAGTTATCTTTTGTTTTGTTTTTTTTCATTTTATCACATTGATGGTGGATTATATTCTTTCTAGCATGTGCACTATTCTTTGGTCTATATTATATAACCGATAGTAAAACACCTTTTTAAAATTATTTTTTCTTATCACGCTTTATTTTTATAGAATCATTTGTTTCGTTGGCACAACGTGACCTTTAACACTCGAGTAAATAACTAAACATTCTATTACAACTGCATGACTTGGGTTTTTTATATAACTTTAGTTTTAAAATATTGTTTAATATGAAATGTGTGTGTGTGTGTGGGGGGGGGGGTTAATTAATTAAAATGTAGTAAGAGGAAACAAATGTTTTCTCAGCATCTTTAAGCACTACTGTCACTTTACTGGAGGTCTACGCATTCTGTCATATACCTGTAATTGTGCAAGGTTAGTTTTTTTACATAACATATTTTTAACAGATATTTCCTTCAATCTACTGTTTGATGTATTTTTCATTCTATTGATTAATATTTTATATTTCTTCTCCGTTCTTATTTCTAATGTTGGAAGTGATTTTCTCCAACACAATTAAGTATTACATGTCAACTTCTTATGTGCCATATACCCCTTTGACTCCGATTTTAGCCTGCTTTTTTTATTAGCTTCCATTAAGTTCCATTGTCTTTGTCCAACTAAGAACAAACTACAAGGCAGCAGAGGCGTAGCGACCCTTACCGGCGCCCGGGGACATACTTTCAATTTGGCGCCCCCTTAGGAGCAAATTTTCGATTTGCACCCCCCATTCGAACTTTTCATTTGCACCCCCCCCCTCAAACTTTCGATTAGCACCCCCCCCCCCCCCTCGAACTTTTCATTTGCACACCCCCCCCCCCTCAAACTTTCGATTTGCACCCCCCCCCTCGAACTTTTCATTTGCACCCCCCTCAAACTTTCAATTTGGCGCCCCCCCTAAGGTCGGCGCCCGGGGACATATGTCCCCCCCCCCCCGCCCCCCCCCCCCCCCTCGCTACGCTACTGCAAGGCAGCAGTTGTTTGATTTTGGAGATCTCTCCTAGATGAGTGGCTGACCTACCATTGATTGATGCATTCTTCAATCTATTAATTAATCTAATAAAGTAACTGTTGACTGACACTGATATGACCATCTATTTCTATTATTTATATTAAAGCCCATTGGCTAATAATATTTGATACAGATTTTTATTAAAAAATTGCCTTATTATTTATCACTGATATGTCCAAATTTACTACATTTGAATTGTAATAATAAAGTCATTTTTATATCATTTTCCATTATTTTAGTGGACATAATGGCTCTGTCCTTCACTATGGCCATGCAGGTGCTCCAAATACTAAAACAATCGAAGATGGAGATATGTGGTTGGTATATTATTTTTGGCTCGGGTCTAGAGGGCCGTTTCTATGTTTTTCTTATTTTACACATTTTTATTTAATTGAATGTGGATTTTTTCCAAATTTAAAACTTTAAATTGATGTAAAAAAAAAAAGCTTAATTTAACAGGGTAAATAATTTACTATTTCTCCTATTGTTTAAGTGTTCTAATTAGTTATGGTTTTTTCTTCAGTTTGTTTGATCTAGGTGCAGAGTATTACTGCTACTGTTCAGACATTACATGTTCATTCCCGGCCAATGGAAAGTTTACCCAAGATCAGAAAGCTATTTATGAGGCTGTTCTTGCTTCTAACCGGGCAGTAATTGCTGCAGCAAAACCTGGTGGGTAACAACTTTCGTATACTATTTCTTTTTTGGGTCTAGGACAATATCTCCACATATAACCCCCACACCCAGATATATGCCTCTTCTTTAAAATTTATAAAATCATTCTATTTATTTGCATCCATATCAGCTTCCTATCCCTAAATCTATCCCATACCATAACTTTAACAAGAACTATCTTTAACCTTATCCCTATTTTTATACCTTTTATTGTGTTGGAATTTTTATTTTTTGTGAAAAACAATCTTTGAAGTTTTTTTATTTGTTACGTTTTTTTAATTTGTTTTTTTTTATTTGAGTAACGTATGATGATTTAATTCTGTTTTTGTTTACATTTTAGACTGACTATTTGGTTATAGTTAGAACTTGGTTGATGTGATAAATTATAATGCGACTGTAAATGTATGTCTATGTGTGTCTAAAGATCTTATACTAGTATGACAAATATGTTAACATAATTGTTTGCCTTAGGTGTGTCTTAAGTTGATATGCACAAACAGTGGCGTAGCGAGGTCGGGTGTCACCCGGTGCGGCACTAAATGTGTCACCCCCAGAGGCGTAGCGACCCTACCCAGGGACAAATTTTCGATTTGCACCCCCCCCCCCCCCTCACCCTCAAACTTTCGATTTGCACTCCCTCCCCCTCAAGTTTTTCTCTATCTATTTTGCCTATCTATTTTTTGCCTTGGTGTCACCCCCCCCCCCTAAATGGTGTCACCCGGTGCGGTCCGCACCCCCCGCCCCCCCCCCTTGCTACGCCCCTGTGCTCAAACATCATGTTTTTGTAAATTTATATCTAGGTGTGTCTTGGGTTGATATGCACAAACTGGCCGAGCGAGTTCTCCTGGAGCACCTGGTCAAGCTTGGCATCCTCCAGGGTGACCTTGACGAAATGATGAAGGTCAGGCTGCCAGCCGTGTTCATGCCTCATGGTCTAGGTCATTTTCTGGGTATTGACACACACGACTGTGGTGGTTACCCTCAGGTAAACAAAATATGTCAGATACAGGTAATTAAAATATGTTAGTTCTGTTTTATAAATTTAATTTCAGAATTTATGCAGCTTACAATTCATGAATTAAGAGATCATAAATATGCTGTACCATGGAAATCCAGGACATCTAACCAAGTTTTTTAGTTGCATTTCCCCCCCCCCCCCCCCCCCCACCTCTCAATCCTAATGAGTTTATGGTGTAACTTAACTGCTAAATAATTCACAATTAATAAATAATTTCTAAATAATTAATTCAGAATTCCTAATTTTGAAAATCACAACAGTAACATTCAACTCATCTACTAGCAACACCGCTGGACTGTAGGGTCTTAAGCTTTTAGCCTACAACTATTTGTTGAAACTTTCTTGTAGTCCTGCCTAATCGCAAAACACCTGTTTTGCGCATTAGAAATCCAAGTTTAGTGGACATCAAACCAGTAGCGTAGCGAGGGGGGGGGGGGGGCGGGGGGGGGGGCATATGTCCCCGGGCGCCGACCTTAGGGGGCGCCAAAATGGGTTGGAAAAATAAATTGAAAGGTTGAGGGGGTGCAAATCGAAAGTTTGAGGGGTGGGGGGTGCAAATCGAAATCTCGAGGGGGGGTGCAAATCGAAAGTTTGAGGGGGGGTGCAAATCGAAAAGTTTGTCCCCGGGCGTCGGGAAGGGTCGCTACGCCTCTGCATCAAATGAAAGTAAAACATAAAATAAACTAAAAATGTAATAACTTAACAAAACCCTTTTGTTTTTGTACTGTGCAGGGTGTTGAGAGAATCAATGAGCCAGGCCTGAGGTCCCTGCGTACAGCCAGAATCCTCCAGCCTCGGATGGTGATAACAATAGAGCCTGGCTGCTACTTCATTGACCACGTGAGTTCATTTTTTTTTCTTCCTCAGACAAGCTGATAATTTCATTCACATTTAGAAAGTTTTTGCTGCAATTGCTCATATTTTTTTTTTAAATTTAGCTACCATCTTTTTTAGAATTTCATTCACATTAAGAAAGATTTTGCTACCATCTTTCTAGAATTTCATTCACATTTAGAAAGATTTTGCTACCATCTTTCTTAGAATTTCATTCACATTTAGAAAGATTTTATAAACTTTTGGAAATAAGAATCTTTCTGCAATACAAAGTTTTATGATATATTTTCTGCGGTTTTTTTTTCAATCTTTCTGCTGGTTTTCATTCACTAAGACACATAATTTTATTCTTTACACGTGAAAAACTTAGTTGAATATTTATTTACTAATTAAGAATTTTGAGTAATAATAGCGGCTATTTAAATAAATACCATGTTTCTAAAATATATACTTTACTGAAAGAGATTTTTGTTTCGTCAGTTACTGGATGCTGCTATAAATGATGAAAGACACAAGAAGTTTATTGTGGAGGAGGTACTCAGAAGATTTAGAAGGTTTGGAGGGGTAAGTGATGCATGAAAAAAATATATTCAAACTTTTCCAAAAACTGCTTCATAAAAAAAAAATTGAAAAAAAAATTAAAATAAAATAAATATGCAATTTTTTAAAATGAGTTTGTTGAACTAGACTAATCTATGTGTTGTGTACAAAAAGACAACTAACAAATGTTTACGATGTTTAGGTGAGAATTGAAGATGACATAGCTATTACTGAGACGGGAGTGGAGAATTTAACTTGTGTACCTCGCACTGTGGAGGAGATAGAAAGGGTCATGGCAGAGGGGAGACAACAGCACCAGCCACTGCCCCAGCACCAGAAACATGAGGCAACAGAGCAGTAGTTATCTGCTCCTGTATGGCAGCCATCACTGTGATCTTTCAAATGTGATTATAGAAGTCTTAATCGTAATGAATTAGTATTTATAATTTCATTAATGTATTAGTATAATTATGATATATTTGTAATATGATGTCTTATTGCTTACTGTCATAAACAGATGTTTCTCAAATATTTCTAATATTGTTCTTTTTTTCTATCATTAATATTTATCTATATAATTCTATATGAACATTAAATAGCGCATATTGCACATGATGCAATTTAATAAACACTGATATTCTTCTTTCGTACTTCTTCAGTTAAGTCAAGCTGTTTTTAAACTATTCATTGGGACTCAACAAAATACAACTAGTCAATAGTCTATTTAATAAACAACACACAAGTTAAGGAAGTAATAGATTCCACATTCGGTTATTATAAAGGAGCTTGCACAACTAAATTAAAACACGCACTTCTAAAGCCAAGCATGCCTTTACTACCATGCACAAAACATGGCGATCGAAGAAAATCTCTCAGACCAAATGCAGACTTTTGAAAATTAGCGTCCTACGCGTCTTACTGCATGGCAGCGAATGCTGGAAAGTAACAACCACCACTAACTGTATACAAATTTCCTGCAAAGGCATCACTGGCCCACATTTTCTCCAGTGATAAGCAATTTCAGAAATAATCGAAAAAATCCATGTGCACAAAAGGAAAAATATGATGATTGAAATACATCTTGACCAGCTGGTACTGATGCCATGAATTCGATTAAAAATATTACAATCTTATTTTAAACATTTCTCTAGTGTGAATTACGTAAAGATGAGGAATTTTTTTTTAAATCCCAAAGTTGTTCAATGGTCAAAGGGACATAATCGAATTTATTTTTTAAAAAAAGGTATAAGTAATAGTTATCCTTCTTTATGCTTTTAGGTAAAAAAAAATAGTTTATCCGGATAACCTCGCTTAGTTTTTTTTTTTTTTTCAAAATTTCATTTAAAAAAAAGAAATGAAACAAGAGCTAAATATTTACTGAAAATCACTGGGTAAAATTTTGATTATCTCATTTTTTTTCAATCGCCTGAAAAAAAGTATAATTGGAGGAAATGAAAAGATTAATCTACATTAGGCTATATGTTGAATAATAAAGATATTAATATAATTATATATATATATATATATATATATATATATATATATATATATATATATATATATATATATATATATATATATATATATATGTGTGTGTGTGTGTGTGTATATTACTATTAAAAATATTTATATTATTAAATAGCCAATATTAATAAACTAATATATTTATTTGTACTAATTAATATAATTATAGGTTCGTTTGAATATTAACAAATATGTATTAGTTTATTGGCCAGTTAATATTAATAGATATACGCAATAAATAGGCGAATTAATATTTTAAAATATTAAAAAACAATATTAATAAATATTAATTTTTCTTAATCAATTTTGATAAAAAATTAGTATCCTTTTAATAAATATTTATAGTAATATAGTCAACACTCTATAGTTTAAAAACTATTATATTAAAGCGAGGTAACCAAATATATACTGCGAAGTGAAGTAATTTCATGTTTGTTTCCCTTAGACCACAATTTTTTAAATTTTTTTTTTAAATTGTTCAAATTTAAAGGGAGCTAACTAGAAATATAGATATATTCAACTTAATAATGAAGAAAGATAGATATTATTGTTAACATTTATAAATGTATATCCATAAATATATACCATTTATCATTGATAAATGTTACTATTTAGAAAAAAGTTGATATTTATAAAAAGTAGTGTTAATAAAAATGATATAAGCGAGATAACCTCGTCTTAACTGAGAAGTGAAGAATATTCATGTTTATTCCCCTTTGACCATAAATTTTTATGTATTGATTCTTTAATTTTTCAGAGAAGAAACAAAACATGTGGATCTCTCTTCGAATCTATTTATGGATATTAATAAATACTATTATTAATAAATATGTTTTATAATAAATATTCTTTTTAATACTGTTAAAAATATTATAAAAATATTTAAACAACAAAGAAACAAAACATGAGAACTTTCTTTTTGCTAATAAAAAGAATATTAAAAGATCGGATAAACATATAACTTATAAACTCTACTTCACCTACCCAATGAACTAGCATTTCTGAAATGGAATTTTCTACCCTTAACCTCCCTCCCCCACAATGCTCCATATCACATGCTGGCAAGGTCAGGACGAGGGTCATGGTTAGAATATCTTTTCGAGATTTCGCTTTTAAATCGCACCAGACTATGTTCGGGAATTTCAGTTTCATTTGGTACGCATAATACTAAAAACAATCTTCCTGAACCAGGAAATAACTTTTTTCAATATGGTTTATCAAATTTGCAATTTTCAATGATCTTAGCGTAATGAATCTGGTTTATATTCCCAACTTTGTGGTCATTCTATTTATAAACGTATATCCACTGCGGGCGTCAGTCAAAGATTTTCAGTGCACATTTGGATCCAATGTGGGGCTGCGCAATGCCACGTTCTGTCACGTTGTCATTCAGCAGGACGTGACAGGAAAGGCTGTCAGTGTGGGGAGTGGCGCCACAGTGTGTGGGGATTATAAAGGTGTGGTTGCCCACTACATCCTGGCCTCTGCTGCCGATGTGCTTCCTGCACTGGCTATTTCGCTCGGCTTTAACAACATCGGCGTCAACGACAGCCATGTTGTCGGGTAGGTCTAGAGTTGTTGTTGTTGTTTTTTTTGTTGTTACTTTCGCTGTGTCAGTGGCGTAGCCGGTGGGTGTTAGGACACTTAATCTCTGCATATCTCCTTTGAGCTAGTCGCATTTGTAATACATTTTCCAATAAATATCTAAGCTTGTGATGACTGTCATACTTTTATTTTGTTATAATCTATTAAGGCGTCATCCATAGACGACGACTAACTCCTGGGAGGGGTGGGGAGTGGGTGTTTCGTCACAAGGTTGCGTTTTTTTTAAATAATTTTTGAAACCGAAAATTAGCTGGTGCTGTTATATTTATGTATATGTATATGTGTATGTGTATGTGTATGTGTGTGTGTGTGTGTATGTGTATGTGTATGTGTATGTGTCTGTGTGTGTGTGTGTGTATGTGTATGTGTATGTAGATGTAGATGTATATATATATATATATATATATATATATATATATATATATATATATATATATATATATATATAATTTTTCTCCTGCCACCCCTTTACTACGGTACTGAAATAAAAGTAGTAGGTAATGATATGTTTGTAACGGGGGGGGGGGGGGTAAAATAGGCAAAAAAGGCTGAGATTTTTAGTTGGTGGTTCCTAACTACTTTACCGATTGTTTTTATCATCAGGCCATACAAGGCATGTCCAAACATCAACACAGATGGCTACACGTGTTACGCCGTGTGTAGGTTCCATGTGTGCTCCTCGGGGAACTTTGGACCGCCCGCCTGCAAGTCTGTCTGTGGCTGTAAGCATGACGTCATGTGCGACATCGTCAACGGGTCGTGCGCTGACGGCCAGTGCAAGGACGGCTTCTACAAGCTGCCCCTCTGTCAGGAGTCGTGCAACTGTTACACTAACGCCCACTGTGACGCCGACGGCCGATGTCCATTCGGATGCCGGAAGGGGTGGACAGGGGCGGACTGCCAGCAGCGACTCTGTCGCGTGGGGTTCGCGGTCCCGCCGGACTGCAAGCACGTCTGTCATTGCGAGGACGTCAACGACTGCGACATCCTCACCGGAAGATGCGCGGGGAAATGCGCAGAAGGCTGGGGAGGGCGGTTCTGCGCAGTACAATGCGCATTGGATGAAGGATGTGAAGTATCCTGCCTTTGTTCCGACCCCGACTGTGACGAACCTCCAGGAAGATGCAAGTGTAACCCGGGCTGGAAGGGGAACTTCTGCGAGGAACGCGCATGCCCGTATGGATATTTCGAGCCGCCGGAGTGTTCCAAAAAATGCCACTGTGAAAACGATCGTTTCTGTAACCCTGAAACAGGCGACTGTATGGGGACGCGATGCGAACACTCCTGGTCTGGCCCTAGCTGCCAGGTTGGCGGCTGCCCACTAGGCTCGTACGGCCCGCCCCTCTGCTCCCACTCCTGCTATTGTGCCAACTACACCTACTGCCACCCGGAAACGGGAATCTGCGCCGCCGGATGTAAGTACGGCTGGTACGGCCAGAACTGCAACATCGGACGTTGCAAGGCTGGTCTGTTTGACCCGCCCCACTGCCTGTCATCGTGTAAGTGCCAGATTCCCGCGTCCTGCAACACGGTGACCAGCGAGTGCGAGAGAGGGGGGTGTGTGGACGGGCTGCTGGGCAAGTACTGTAACCTGACCACCGCCGTCAGCTTCTCGGTGGTGCCCTACAAGATGCACACAAACTCCACGCAGTTAGCCATCGTGGGGGCGTGTTTTATCGGCGCCCTGTGTGTTGCTTATGTCTGCACGAAATGGTTTGTGAAAGCGGAAGAGAAACACGTGGCCAGTGAACTCATTGCTTCAGCATGATGGATAGTTCTACCTATTAGTGAGATCAAAGTGTGTAAAAGATCAAGCTTTTCCTAAAAAAAAAGAAATATAAAATTGTGATTTTTTTTCTTAAGCTTCAATAGTACGCCTTAATTTTATATAACTACTAGCCGTCCCGGCCAGGCCCTGCTCTGGCTTCTGTGAAAAACCTTTCTGTTAAAGACCATTACCTGTGTGTTTAGTAATCATCATAAACCCGGCATTGCCCACCCAAACCACAACCAACCAAAACAACAAAACGCAAACATAACGCTAACACAATTACAAATACAAAAGAAAACAAAAACCTAACAACAAACCCAACCACAACCACAAACACCAATACAAACACAAAGAAAAAACAAAAAAGCAAACGAAAACAAAAACCTAACAACAAACCCAACCACAAACACCAATACGAACACAAAGAAAACAAAAAACAAAAAAGCAAACGAAAACAAACCAAATCCAAACGCAAAACCAACCACAAACACAAATACAAACACAAACCCAAAGAAAAAACACAAACGAAAACGATAAAAGAAAGAACAAAAATGAACCAAATCAAAACGCAACCACTAACGCAAACCCAACCTAAACACAAAGAAAACACTAACGCGAACATAAACGCAAAGTGTTCACAGTCTAGCCCGGGGCGGAATCACCTGTTTCAGCTTAATAAACGACTATAGTACCCCAACTTATTAATAGTCTTTTGCACTCACTTAAACGAACGTAGGCGCCAAACCGAACACGGGAGGCCCGGGGCCCCAAATAGCACCCTGTCTGGGCGCCAGAGGACGCCCGGATTCGATTCACTTAAAGACTATAGTAACCTTTCTTATCCATACTCTATCGCACTGTTTAAAGCGAAATTATGCACCATAACGCTCACAGGATAGCCCAGGGCGCCAAATTAACCCTGGTGGGGCGCCGGCGGACGCGCCTGTTTCAATTTAATGAACAATTATAATACTCCAAGCTTATCCGTAAAATACCTACAACATTTGCACTTGATCAATCCCCGCTAAATTATGTAATTATTTTTTTCCCAACACCAAAACAAAGTAATAAAAAAGTAAATTCTTTTCCACTGTTTTATAAATGGAAGTAATTGTGTTTTCCTAATTTATCAAAGGGAAGTAAGTCCTAAAGGACTAAATATAAATAATTTTAAGACATAATTAGAATTTTTGTAAAAGATGATATTTTTTTTAAATTGTGTTTAATGAACATGCCGACAATTATTACTATCAGTTTGAAAAATGAAAATTATTTCCCAACACTTTCAGTATTAATTTTTAACTCATAAATTTAGACCATAAGCACTACAATAATCTAACACTTAAATCCATTGAAGTATTTACGACAAACCTATTATAAACATTTTTGAAACACAGAATTGAGCTTTAAATATTAGAAATAAAAGCATTCGCTGTTGTTGGTTAAAGCTTGTATCATAAAGAAAAGCTGTAAAATAACATAAGGTGTTATTTAAATCTTAAAGCACAAACATAAACCTATGTTAGTTAGTTTAAAATTTAGAAATTAATAAATGATTAATTCGCTATTGAAATACACGAATTAATATTTCTGTTACACTTTCGAACCTAGCGAACCATGGGACAGATCAAGTAGAGTTCAACTGTTTCTGTGACCTAGTAATATGAAGAGATAGTGTGGCTAGCATTATGTCCAGCTTCCTTTACTTTCCGTAACGTAGGTCAGGTACCCATCAGAGCTGGGTGGACTCAGGGACGTCAAAACGACTCCAGCCCGGGAGCCGAACTCGAGATTATCAAGTTAGCTGTCGATCACTACCGTGCAACCACACCGTCCCATCCCCCACTCTACCCCCTCCCAGAACAATAAAGAATAACACTGCGTTTTGTTACTGTAGGTTTATATAACATTCGCTATAGGAAGACTGGAATTGGATCCACCATGATTATGTTGATTTAAAATACTCCCTCTTGTTACATGTATGTACGATACTAATAACTCTGCACAGAGATATATCTACGTTTCATAAATTTCGCTTTTCCAGTTGCATTTTTTAGCAATCCTTTCTCTTCGTTCACAATCAAATAGGCCAACTTGAAATTATGCAGGCCTACTTTTCTATGTGCGTTAGTTATGGCAGAGGCGTAGCGAGGTGGGGGGGGGGGGGGGGCGGGGGTGTACTTATGTCCCGGGGCGCCAACCCTAGGGGGCGCCAAAATGGGTTGAAAAACAATTAAAAGCTCATTTAAGCTGCAGTTTTGCATTATAAATATAAAAAATATATGGAGGGGAGGGCGCCAAATTGAAAGTTTGTCGCAAAATTGAAAGTTTGTCCCCGGGCGCCGGGAGGGGTCGCTACGCCTCTGATTTATGGTCAGTTCCGTATAAAAATGTATCTCCTTATGTGAAAACTCAAACTTCAGAAAATTATCGACACGCCCATTCAGCAACAAAAATATCGATGAGACTTCTGTACAGTCCTCACAACCTCACAGTGCCAACAGCCGAGCGTTTACGCAGTTCTGACTCGCGTCGTATCGAACGTGTCCTCTGCGCAGCGCGCGCCGCACAGCAATTAAAGGTAAACTTGAAGCGAGGGAGAGGGAGAGATAAGGGAGGTAATTATTCCATTCAAACGAGCATCACTGCAAGAAACAACTTTCGCGTAGGCAAAGTCAATACCGCATGATGCTAAATGTCATTTCAGCTTGGCATTACTTTAGCTGTCGCGTTTAAGCCTTTGTAATATTATAGTAAGACAAGCGCATTCAAACGTTTTGTATTTAAGGGTCTGTTTTCATTTATTTTTTTCATGTTAATATTTATCTAATACAAGAACCGCTGTAAAATGTAGATGTAAAAATTACAAAGCTTTCAATATTAGATTAGATACGAACAGGTAAAAGCAGCATGCATTATTAAGAAAAGAGGGCGATCTATAATTTTGCATGTGTATCGGAAGTAATTTACCCACTGTGGAGTGTGTGTTCGTTTTCTTGCCATTTCGACACGATGGTACAACTTGAACAGACGGATAAAAATCTCATGGCAAGTAAGTTTGGTGCTTTTTTTTTATTATGTTAGTGTGTGGCGTGTACGTCTGATGTGTTGTCATTATGTCAGTGAATGGAAAGTAAGTTTTTCGTTGTCATTATGTCAGAGTATGGCTAGTATGTTTAGTATATGTTGCCATCATGGTATGGCAAGTAAGTTTAGTTTGGTGTGTGTCGTCGGTATGTCAGTGTAAGGCAAGTAAGTTTTTGTCGTTGTCTTTGATGCTTTATCTTGCAAGTAATGCCATTAATACAATGCTTTATCTGGCTAATAATATCATTAATACAGTGTTTTAACTGGCTAGTAATGTCATTAATACAGATATTTAAATATGCGTTATGCGTGTGAGTGTACTAAACGCTATGCGTTGCAATCAGGGGTGGACTGCAGTGTTTCTTCCAGACTTTTTTCTCCGGGGAAACTTAATATTTTCGGGAGGGGGGGGGGCGGTCAACATTTTCCGGGAGGCAGACACTAGTAGAAGTATATTTTTACTGTATAAATTCCATCTCGTTCGGGGGGGGGGGGGGGGGGGGGGGGGTAGACTCTGGTGACCTGGCCCACCGGTCTACCGTGGAAAATCCCAGCGGACCCCCAAGAGAATATCTCTGTTGGCCCACATAACAGTGCTGTAATGGTCCTACTGATATTTTGATTTTTAAAAGTTGTAGGTATTTTACCATTTTGCCATTCATTACTAGAATAAATGTAAAATTAGGCTTTGGTGTAGAAGATAACGCCTAATGAAAATTTCAATCGAGGGTTTGGGGCCCCTTTTAAAATTTTCCCGGGGCATTTTGCCACAGCAAGTTCACCCTTCATTGCTATCCTGACTGTGTTGGTTGTAAGTCTAACCAATGCGATATATGTATATTACCTGGAGTGGGTGAATTAATTAAATGAGTACGCCATTGGCCCGCTTCATCAAATTACTTAACTAATGTGTATTGGGAAAACAAATTGAAACATCGCAATTGATGGTGAACCTCGTAATTAATTAAGTTTTAAATTTATTCATTTGTTATAATCTTCATTTTATCCTACACTTCTTGTTGCGAACAATAGTAGATTCATATAACAAAAAAACTCAGCGAACAGCTTGGTCGATTATTGGTCAATAGCCTACATGTTGTTGTTAAGAAAAACACTGGCTTGACATTTTATCTCAGGGATGACCTTAATCGTAACGGGTGGTGTTTTGTCTTATGAGAACTGTCTTTCTATCTGTTTGATTGTCTGTCTGTTTGCCTGTTGACCGGAATGACGTTTTGTTTGCTTTTCTGTTTGTCTGGCGTTTTGTCTGTCTTCCTGTTTGTCTGCCTGTTGCCTGTTTGTATTCCTCATGTATGTAACACAGGTACTTACACCATGGCGGGTCGTCTTCAAGACTTTTTTTTACCAGTAGAACTACCCTGACCATGGCACCAAAATGCCTGATCTTATCCCTTAACTTGACTACAACCCTGGCCCAAACAATCCCTACCCTAACCAAAACAACGAACTAGTTAAAAGTGCTCTTTACGATATTATACTGCAATACCTTGGTTTCTATCAGAACCCTGTTCCGTCTATTACAATATTATACCGGGTTTTTAGGTTAGGTTAGGTTTGCCTGTCGCCCCTCCTGGGACATAGGCCGCAAGAGCTTTCCAGACGTCTCTGTCCTGGGCTAGTCTCTCCAACTGTCCCCAGGTGTATCCAATCTTCTTGGTGTCTTCTTCCTGGTCACGTCTCCAGGTATTTCTTGGTCTTCCTCTCCTCCTCCTGCCCTATCGATTCCAGGTGAGGTTCTGTCTTGTTATGCTGGATAAGGCTTCCTGAGTGTGTGGCCAATCCATTTCCATTCTCTCTGGAGGATCTCTACTTCAACTGGCAGTTGATTTATCCGTTGCCTTAATACCTCATTTCTGATGGTTTTAGGTCAGCGAATTCGCAGGATCTTTCTTAGGCATGCGTTTATAAATGATTGTATTTTCTTCTTATTTGTGACAGTTATTCTCCATAGAGTAAAACAGGTTTCACTAGTGTTTTGAAGAGCCGAATTTTTATTCTAAGGGTTAAATCTCCAGAACCCCAAACATTTTTTAGTTGGTTGAAGACTGCTCTTGCCTTGCCCGTCCTTATTTTTATGTCTGCTTCTGTCCCGCCCTGTTTATCAACGATACTTCCAAATCGTAAACAAACAACTCGCTACAGAAACGCAGACAAAGAAAAATACAGACAGCTCGGACCTGGGAAAGAATGGATCACCCCATGGAGAAATTATGAAGCCGGGTGGTGACCGACCGGGGTTTTACCAGAACCCTATTCCGTCTATTACAATATTACAGAGGCGTAGCGACCCTTCCCAGCACCCGGGGACAAAAAAATTTCAATTTGCCCCCCCCCCCCATATATTTTTTAGATTTATAATGCAAAACTGCAGCTAAAATGAGCTTTTAATTTTTTTTCAACCCATTTTGGCGCCCCCTAGGGTCGGCGCCCGGGGAAATATGTACCCCCCCCCCCTCACTACGCCTCTGCAATATAATACCGGGGTTTTACCAAAACCCTATTCCGTCTATTGACCGTGCGATGTTAACAAGTTTTCCTTCTTACAAAGACTCCCTAGGGACGATAGACCAAGACGCCGACACACCTACAGTGGCCACCTCCCCGTCCAAAACCAAACCTCCAAAGGTGATAACGACGGCGACCAAGAAAGATGGCATCCAGCTCATCTCCTATCAGATCACACCCAAACCACCGCCGGAGCCACTTCCGTTTCCGTTCAGCTGCATCATCATGGTGAGTGGGACACATGAAATTAAGTGTTGTATTTCTAAAAGGTTTTGATCTGGTTGATTTGTTAGTTACACAGTGACACAATGGTGCAGTGTGCGGTTGGTTAAAAGAGTTGTTTTAGTTTGAAAATGAGCTTCGGGGTTTGGGCAGGTCATTGGGCTCACTCGGCATATATGAGTACCCAGCATTACTATGTGGAGAAATAAGTAAGTCGCGAGTCGTGAGTGTTGTGTGAAAGAAATGTGGTAACTTCAACTGAGTGTGTGTATGTATGTGTGTTTGTGTGTGTGTGCGTGTGTGTGTGTGTGCCAGTTTCTTATTTAGTTAACTAAGGCAAACAAAAGCTCTGCATGGAGACACCCCCCCCCTTTTTATACTCTAACACACGCTCTAGTATATCTTTATCTATATAATCACTATGATGTGTAGTCTGAAGGTCTACCTAGGTTTTATACCATCAAGTCTAGTTGTATACCAGCCGCACAGTCATTTTGCATGATTTAGGTATCACGCAAGTGGTAACCTTGCCGGCCACGCTTAAGCTAATGTGTCCATCCCCTGCCCAAAGTATAACAAACTGGCTCTCTATTCGGGTATTGATAAATCTATGTACCTATTAGTTAGACCTGACAGTCCATAGAACAAATTATGTACTGTCTCTGTGACCTCGGCAATGATGGGTTTGAATTTTGATTTTGATGAAGGGCGTGGAAGTGTTGTTTTTCTGATATTCTACGTTCTGAAGTTATAGGCATTAGCTGAATGAATGCACCTTCGTCAATAGCTGTAATTTTACTTGGGATAATTTCAGTTGTAGGGGTCGATGTGGGGGAGGGGGGTCTAACCTCCCCTAACGCCCCACTACCTAGGACGCTGACGTGTCTTTCACCTCCGACCCCCTCTGACCCCTAATATCTTCACACCATTCGATACGGTTGACCAACCTTTCACATTAGTGATCTAACACGAGTATCCCTGATTGTACCTCTAGATCTGTTGTGGTGGGAACATGAAGTACCTGGTCTTCCCGACCCTAATGGCGGTCAGTCTTGGACTGTTCCTGGCCTTCAGTCGAGCTGTGTCCTCCACGTCATTGCACATGGGTGAGTCATGCTGTCGTCTGCTGAATAGAAATATGAGTCAAGTAACTGTCTTAACTTTAATATAAGTATTTTATTATGGTCCGCTAACTCTTTTGGGAGGAAAAACAAATTATTCGTGTTGAGTGATATGTATTTCATGGCGGGTTATTTTCTGTAAAAAAAAAAAAAGACACACACAAAAAAAAGAAAAAAAAACTTGGCGTACATTGTCCATATCGTAGACAATATTCAACTGAACCCAACAACTTGCATTAAACCTAACCCAGTGGCGTAGGCAGGGAGGGGGGGGGTTTATAACCCCCCCCCCCATAGACCCCTCGGTATATATTTAAAAAGTATGAGGGGGGTGCAAATCGAAAGTTTGAGGGGGGGTGCAAATCGAAAGTTTGAGGGGGGGTGCAAATCGAAAATTTGCCCCCGGGTAAAAATTGGACCCCCCCCCACCCCCCTTGAGACGATCCTGGCTACGCCACTGACCTAACCCCAACTAATACATAAAACAATGTACTCTAACACCACATGCTTGTGTCGCAGGCTATACCTAGTACTCAAACCCAACGGCTTATCCTAACCCCACCTTCCCGGTGTCGCATGTAAAGCCAGCACTTAAACCCTAAACCAACCACTTACCCTAACCCCCTGTCGCAGGTTAAAGCCACTTACTCACTAACCCTAAGCCAACCACATACCCTAACCCAACCACTTATCCTAACCGAACCACTTACCCTAACCCTAACCCAACCACTTACCCTAACCCCCTGTCGCAGGCTACAGCTCTACTTAAACCCTAACCCAACAACTTACCCTAACCCAACCACTCACCCTAACCCAACCACTTAACCTAACCCAACCCCTCCCCCTGTGTCAGGCTACAGCCAGTACTTAAACCCTAACCCAACCACTAACCCTAACCCTAACCCAACCACTTACCCTAACCCAACCACAAACCCAACCCCTATGTCAGGCTACATCCAGTACTTAAACCCTAACCCAACCACTTACCCTAACCCAACCACTTACCCTAACCCTAACCCAACCACTTACCCTAACCCAACCACAAACCCAAACCCAACCCCTATGTCAGGCTACATCCAGTACTTAAACCCTAACCCTAACCCAACCCCCTGTGTCAGGCTACATCCAGTACTTAAACCCTAACCCAACCCCAAACCCCCTGTGTCAGGCTACAGCCACTAACCCTAACCCAACCCCCTGTGTCAGGCTACAGCCACTAACCCTAACCCAACCACTAACCCTAACCCTAACCCAACCCTCTATGTCAGGCTACAGCCAGTACCAGAACAGCCGTGAGTTGAGCGAGGACGAGCCGAGCGTGCCACAGAGCCACATGCTGTTCGGGAACATTCTCAAGGACCACGCCGCCATGTTCCACCCCCAGGCCCACCTCCTGCAGCAACAACAGCAGCTGCAGGCGCAGCAGCAGCAGATGCAGCAGAACATGGTGGTGCAGGAGGGAGGGGAGGGCTGCGATTGTTCCAGGTGTGAGGTCGACAGGGACTTTATTAATGTGAGTACTGTATATGTAGGTACATTGATGCTATAGTACTGTATATGTAGGTACATTGATGCTATAGTACTGTATATGTAGGTACATTGATAGTATAGTACTGTATATGTAGGTACATTGATGCTATAGTACTGTATATTTAGGTACATTGATGGTATAGTAGAGAAAAGGTAGCTGAGTGGATGGTATAGTAGAGAATATATAGGTGAATGGATGGTCTAGTACAGAAAATAAAGGTGAAATATGGTATAGTACTGTATATGTAGGTACATTGATGGTATAGTAGAGAATATATAGGTTAATGGATAGTATAGTACAGAAAATAAAGGTGAAATATGGTATAGTACTGTATATGTAGGTACATTGATGGTATAGTAGAGAAAAGGGGTCATCTATAAATGACGTCACGCTTTTTTGGACTATTTTTACCTCCCCCCCCCCCCTTCACACCGTCACACATCGTCACAAAAAGCCAGACCCCCTCCCCCCTAAAATGACGTCACACCTCAGCCTACACCCCCCTGGTGGATAGTATAGTACTGTATATGTAGGTGGGTGGATAGTATAGTACTGTATAATTCGGTGGATAGATAGTATATTATGTTAGAAGTGCAATTTAGTGCGAGTAAATGAATGGAGGCAGTGTATCTTTCAGGCATTTCCCGGAGGGTGGTGAGAAAACAGTCTAAAAGACACACTGCTAGGGGCGTCTTCCATTTTTTTTTAAATCTTACGATCGTTGTCAGGGCAACGTGAATCAGCACAAGCGACTAGTGAAGCACAGCTTCCAACACTTCTACGGCAAACCAGAGCTGGCGACTCAGATCGAGGCTTTCGTGCCCAGCAAGAAAAAAAGATGGGAGCTCAGTCCGGTCTTCTACGTGTCGGCCAACCCCGTGTGTGGAGACGACAGCATCCCATTGGCTGTTATTTTGGTGCATACGCGCCACCGTCACATGACTGAACGAAACGTTGTCAGGGAAACGTGGGGAAGAGTGGCCAGGGGTCATCCATGGCCACATAGACAGGTTGGTTTTTAAAATCGTTATAGTTCCTCTGTCTATCTAGATCGAAACGCCCGAGCAAAATTGCAGGCACTTCTAACTGACAGATACGGTTCGTAATTGGTACGTGGATCAAGACATGAAGACAATGCATCATGACATTCAATTTGACATAATTGTGTTATAGATATAGTGTTTCGCCATCCTAAATATTTACAGAGGGGAAAAATAGGATTTCCTACAAAAAAAATGTGTCAACGTAAGAGAATGTAGGCAAGATATCTAGGTTGTTTAACCATCCTCTTCTCTACCATCAACTGCCGGTTCCACCCAGCTACTCGCTACACATTCAACCGCCCTAATTTTTAGCTGTCTCCCCCCCCCCCCCCCACATGCCTCCTACACAGTTAATCACCATAATATCTCTGATGCTCCCCCCTCCCTCTCTAGATGCCTGGTGAGGTCAAGCTGGTCTTCGTGCTGGAGGTCAGCGAGGATCCTATAGACAACAACTTGGCCACCAAGGAGTCAGAGAAATACGGGGACATTGTCCTGGTGGATGTACAGGTAGGTGTACACAATACGTGGACAATGTGTTGGTGGATGTACAGGTAGGTGTTCACATTAGAGGGACATTGTCCTGGTGGATGTACAGGTAGGTGTACACATTAGAGGGACATTGTCCTGGTGGATGTACAGGTAGGTGTACACAATACGGGGACATTGTCCTAGTGGATATACAGGTAGGTGTACACAATACGGGGACATTGTGTTGGTGGATATACAGGTAGGTGTACACAATACGGGGACATTGTGTTGGTGGATGTACAGGTAGGTGTACACAATACGGGGACATTGTCCTGGTGGATGTACAGGTAGATGTACACAATACGGGGACATTGTCCTGGCGGATGTACAGGTAGGTGTACACAATACGGGGACATTGTCCTGGTGGATGTACAGGTATGTGTACACAATACGGGGACATTGTCCTGGTGGATGTACAGGTAGGTGTACACAGTACGGGGACATTGTGTTGGTGGATGTACAGGTAGGTGTACACAATACGGGGACATTGTCCTGGTGGATGTACAGGTATGTGTACACAATACGGGGACATTGTCCTGGTGGATGTACAGGTAGGTGTACACAGTACGGGGACATTGTGTTGGTGGATGTACAGGTAGGTGTACACAACACGGGGACATTGTCCTAGTGGATATACAGGTGCGTGTTTATGTACATAATAGACCTTCTGCTGCAGGTATGTGTACATTAGAGTTATGTATGCTGCGGGTAAGTGTACATAGCATATTCTATAATAATAATGGCATTGTATTTATCATTGCCCGTTTCAGTAGAATGTATACATAAAAATTAACATATAGCTTCCTAAAATAGACGTCAGGTTTGAAAGGGAACTTTACTTACTTACTAAAATTGTCAGTTCACACATATGAGTCCTAATGTTATCTAGACAGACAAAAACTAGAAATTATTGCAAAAACGTGTTTGTGTACTGGCGAGTATTATTCACGTTAGATATTATTTAAGACTGCCAATATTTTAAGCCCGTGCTGTATTCTTATTGATTTAACTGTGTAACACTTACGTCAACAGGAGACACGGAGACCAGCTACCCGAAATATTCTGGCAGGGTTCAAGTGGGTGCTGGACTATTGTTCAGGAGCTCAGTACGTCATCAAGGTGAGTGGCACTGGTTGGTATAGCACATATAGAGGCAAGGTGCGTTTCTTTTCGGTAAAAAGTGCGTTTTTTTCGTAGGGAAATGTGACCTTTTTTGTGGGGAAAATACTGCTTTATCTATTTAAAAAAAAAAGGTTTTACCCTTTACCAATATTGTATTTGTATTCTAATTCTAATGTACTTTCTACAGTTTGAGTTGCTTTATTTGTATAGCATTTTATGCCTTCCGATGCGGACTATAAAAGGCGTCATACTTCTTTGACGATTTTTACCCTACTGTCGCTCACAAATTGTCACTAAAAGCCAGATTCCCCCCCCCCCCCTCCTAAAGTGATGTCACACATCAGCCTTAAATCGCCCTCGATATGGCATTTTTTAAAACACCTATCTCTTTCTAAACTATTAAATGATCTCATCAACAAAAAGTATATTAATCGATTTCCATTACAATGTACAAAAACATTCTTTTAAACAGTTCAATTCAGCTTCTAAGTGACGTCACACTTTCTGACACCTACTCCTTTGCCACATGTCGTCACTAACCCCCCCCCCCCCTCCACCCCCCCCCCCCCCCTCAATACTATTTCCTTTTTCTCTCGATGCCTGTGGTCACATCGTTATTTCCGTTCGTGCCCAAGACACATGGGGCAGATGTAGTAGAGCTCATCTGCTTCAGAGACCTCGGCATATGAAGGGATAGTGTGTGGTCAGCACTATGCCCAGCCGCCTTTGTTTCTCCAACATCATTTAGGTACCCATCAGAGCTGGGTGGACTCAGGGACGTTCCACTGATTTGTATTCGAACGTGAGACTCTCGGATAACCAGTCCTAGCTCTCTACCCCTAGGCCACGACTTGTTATCTTTACCCCGATGTACGCAGTCACATAACAAATCATTTCCCTCTAGGTGGAAGAAGACACTTTTCTAGACGTGCCACTAATGCTGACACTCCTGGCCTACCAAGACTTGACCAACATGATATTTGGACCCATCGTCTTCGACGCCAGTGTCAAGAGAGTCACTGAAGACAACAAACTGCTTGTGTCCAAACAGGCATATTTTCCAGAGGTGTATCCCCCATACGCCATGGTGGGTATGCATGAAACGGTTCCCAGAGAAATGCGCAAACGGAAAAATGCGCAAATACAAACTTATTATACTAATATACTTTTAATTTTTTTTATATTATGTGGACAAATGTTTAGAATGTTACAATGTACATGTAGTCATTCTTTGCTAATGTCTATGAATGTTCGATTTTTCCGTTGCGCTTCTTTCCGGTCACCATAAATTCTAAACATAACACAAAAAACAAGGTTTCTTTCAGACATTTTTCTACGTGGGATGAGGGTGGGAGCACTACTTTAACCTTATGGGGAGGTCACACTAAAAGTTTCCAGGGGGGGGGACTGGTTAAAGTATATATTTTCTATATAAATTATGTTTTTCCTTTTTTCGACCTGGGGGTAAGCGTTGGACGTACTCCGGGGGTGGGCTCTGTTCACTCCCTCCCCTCCAGAGTTTCTTCCAGGCATCTCTTTTATATATACTTTTAACAGTGTCCGCCCCCCCCCCCCCCCCCCGAAGAAAGTCTACCGCCCCCCCCCCCCCCGAAGAAAAAAATCTGGAAGAAACACTGCTCCCCTCTCTTCCCCCCCCCCCCCAGCGATGCGTGAAAGAAAGAAAAAAAAAACTTCCCTAATTTAAATTCCTTTTTTTTTTCTACACAGGGGAACGTCTATGCAATGCCGACAACTCTCGCCAAACGTATCCTAAACATTGCCGAGTATTTGCCCTACGTCAGCCTAGAAGACGTCTTCATCACTGGCATCGTGGCCAAAGTTTTTGACGTCCGACACATCAACATCCCAGAGGGCCTGTTCGACCGGAAGTCCGGCAGCAAGCCGGAACTGTGCGACTTTGTGTACCGGAGAAAGATCGCCGCCCAGGGCGTGAAATCTGCCATGGCGCATAACTTGTGGAGGCGACTGGAGAAGTCGGAAATGTGCGGCTTGTTTCCAACAGAGTAGTGGGCCTTGGTGGTTTGGGAGATTTCAGTATAGGTGTCGTTATAAGATGAGAGTTTGTGTGTGTGAGAGAGAGGGGGAGGGAGAGTCAAGAAATCTTACTAGGATTAACAATGGTTAATTATTAACTATCCATAAATGACGTCACGCTTTTTTGACGATTTACCTCCTACCCCTCCGTCACAAAAAGCTAGCCCGCCTAAAATGACGTCACATCTCAGCCTACAACCCCCCCCCCCTCCTCAAATCACAGTTGAAATTTTCTTAAAATATTTTTCCAAAATCTTGTCTGAACTCTGTCAACAGAGTATTTTAATCAATTTCTATTACAATTTATTATAACAGTTTTCTAAAACGCTAAATAACGGCTAAAATTCGTTTTCTAACATTGCTTTTTTATAATGCAAAAGTGTGACGTCACATCATCTGAACACACCCCCACCCCTAATCACAAAATTACGGACCCCTCTCACCCCTACGAGTGTGACGTCATTTATAGACGACCCTTAAGAGGGGGCGACGTGGTCGGATAGTAGAGCTTACGACTGCTAACCCAAAAGTCTCTAGTTCGGATCTCGGGCTCGAACAGGGGCGGACTGGCAGTGTCCCAGAGGCCCGGGAAATTTTAATAAAGCGCCATACCCGAGATTCAAATTTGCACGGTGCATTTTTGTCCGCTGTAGCCAGTTTTCTGTGGATTGTTAGCCATACACAATTTGTCATTTTCAAGCTTTGTATTGCTTTATTAATTTTCTTTCACCATCAAATAAAGAGGCGGGATTGCGAGGTCGGATGCTAGAACGCACGACTGCTAACCCAAAAATCTAGAGATCGAATCCCGAACTCGAGTCAGTAGGATGTTCCATAGTCTACACAGCTTTTAGGGTTAACTGACCCTCGTTGGGGTAATTTTTTACTGTTGGCGTATTGCTGACTGCCTGAAGTCACAGAAACAGATGCTTTACTTCATCTAATCAATGACCAGGTTCAAAAGGGTAACTTTAAAAAAAAAAATCAAGTCATATGTTGTGTATGTTTGGATGTATGTATGTATGTATATATATATATATATATATATATATATATATATATATATATATATATATATATATATATATATATATATATATATATATATATATATATATATATATATATATATATATATATATATATATATATTATATATATATAATATATATATATATATAATATATATATATATATATATATATATATATATATATATATATTATATATATATATAATATATATATATATATCCAGAGATGTATGTCTGAAAAAACACTGGCTCCCATACTTTTATCTAGCTCAAATGTATTTGTATAACATGTAATTGATATGCAATTAAGAAGAAGTTAAAGATGATTTATCTATGTACATATTTATATTACCATGAATGATTTTTATTGCTTGTTTATAATAAAAGTAAATAAAAAAACCCACATAAATCAATTATTTATTTTATTTGTAGCTATGACTATATCTAAGCTTCAGACAACATAAAAGAACCTTTAGTTTAGGCTTTCCTATGACCAAGTTCTACAATTTAACTATTTATTGCTTACAATACTGCTTAATGTGGACTAAAACAATTTTTAAAAGTTTAATATCAATAATACATGTCTTTTAAAAAAAAACAGCTTTAAAATACTTAACATAAGTTCTTTAGTTTTTTAAACTTGCCTTATGCAATAACAATAACACAACAAATAGTACATCACAACAACACAATTTTTATCATCTAATGAACACTTCTGGTCAATCAACTTTTAAAAATAAAACATTTAAAGCAATGTTAAGTGTAAAATATACTAGATCTATTTCAGATACCAGCAAAACACAATGAGAGTCACAAATAACTGGGTTTTCTTTGTCATATTGACGTTTCCAAAAATTTCAACTTGTTACTTTTGGCATTGTTATACACTTACAAGTTTTACACACACAAAAAAAATATAGCATGTTTGGTAATTAACATTTTCTACTTGTCTAAGAATACTGATGCAGTTATTCTGATAATTTAATTAAATTACCCAGTGATCGTAGTACATTGAAAAAGTAAACACTCTGCTGGAAATCCACTTTATCTAATGGGACTAACGATAAAAGACAGAATTTTTCAAAATAGTTTTAAAAGTTTTTAGTGATGAGTTTTTGTCTTTTTGAGCATCAATGAGAGCTTAAAATGTGTTTACATCACGACTTACTGTAATACACATGATTAAATATTTTACTGGTGCAAAAAATGCATAAATACAAAACTGAATGTTCAAAAAAAACAAGGGAATGTGTATGAAAAGTTCAGTTTGTTAGTGCAATAAAGCTCAACTGTATGTATGTTTTAAAGTAGATCACAATAAATGGTTTGTAATGGGATCTTTTTTATGTATCATAAAACACAGAATTCAGTATTTGTTTCTCCAGTTTCCAAAATCAATATTTTTCTATGGAAAATAAAAGCCATTTTTAAAATAGATTAAAACAAGATATAGAGAAAAAATGAATGACTACTATAACTATAATACTATGGCTATTATTGAATAATGAGGATGCCAAAAATGGATTATCCCTGTCTAAACAAAAAGGGATGTAATCAGGTTAAACACAAATGCATTTTAGAAGCTAACAGTCGAGTATTGAGTTCCAAAATGGATCATTACCTGTATAAAACTGAGCTATACAAATTTTGGTCCAAAATTAATTAACACAAAAAACTAATTAACCTGAACTAAAACAAAAACAACAAGAAACAGAATTTAACATACCAAGACTAAATCACAAGATCAGGCAAAGATAGTTGCATCAAAAACTAAACAATGGTACTTTATTTGGCCATAATTAATAAAACTGCAGCTAAGATCATAACCTTGTATAAAAAGTCTATTCTATATGTTTAAAAACCATCACGTCCCAAAAGCTATTAAAGTCTAAAAATTGATGTACAGTTTGACATAAAAGAAAGACTTTATGAAATGATTTTAAAAAATCATACTTTTTTGTTAAATACGAATCAAGGAATGGATTTGAGTTTAAAGTTGTCATAATTTTCTGTTTATCACTTCGCAAATGGGACAGTTAAAATATAAAAGTAAAATACTTGAACAAAAAGAGAATTCGATATCTCAAAGCAAATATAAAATGCAACACAGTGGGTAAAAGCAACAAACCATTTAAAACTAAATTTAGTCTTACCTTTAAAATTTTAGTTTGGTCTTTGTTCATCTAATTAACTTAACCATACAAGGAAATAAGAAGTAGAAGTAATTTTTTTTTAAATGTAGACTATTTCACCCTTAATGATCCATAGGGCAGATGAAGTAGAACTAATGTTGTTTCTTGACCCCTACATTTGAAGGATGGTGTGATCAGCATTATGTCTAATTGACTAGAGGATAAAGCTTTCTAAAAACAGATTTTAAAATAAATTCTGAATAAAATAATGCTAGCCCTTACACTAAAATTTAACATTAATTTCCTGTTATTATTACCTATTTAATGCACATTAAAATGTAAAAGAATAATAATTAGTACAAAATTAATAAAAAAAAAAACAAAGATTTTTTCAATTTTAAGGTAAGTAAAAAAAGGTACAAAATAAAAGCGTTAGCACAGTGTAAAGCTCTTGGCTATGCAAAAGAATGTCATATAAACATGAACACAAGCAGCATGAGTATCACAATGTCAGATAAAGCTTTTTAGCAACAACATTCAAATATGGCATTTAAAAATTTGTTTACACCACAGCTTAAAGACAATTTTTAAGAATGGTATCCTGCAAAATTATTTTCTTAAAAATACAGATAGCACAATTTTGTTCCATGTTAGTAAGTACTGGTTTAGATATAAATAATATTATAAAGAGAGCAAAAAATTTAACTAATTAATAAATATATTCTAAACAATATTATTTTATCTAAATTTTAAGGAAATAGATTTCGCTAAATTTTCCTTCCTTCCCGTGATATTAATGTGGTTTTAAGTAAAATTCATGGTAAAACAATGTGCATTCACAGCTGTAAACTATACAATGAAAAGTGTGTATAAAAAATATATATACCTACTTATTTAGACCACATTATATGCACATAAACATTTTTTACCACAAATCTTTTAGGGAGCTAATAAGTTGTCACGTTTTCAACATCATCAGATATATGGAGCTCAATTGAGAACAACAATGTAAAAATAATTTGGAAGCTGTTGAAACTAATAAGTAGACTACTGCTAAGACTAAAGGTATATACAGTAACATTAAACAAAATAGCTAAAGACAGATATTATAGGAGCTAATGCATGAACAGTAACTAATAGAACTAAAAGGTGGACAGTAACATCAGAGTTAAAAGGTATATCATAAGATTATGTACACAGAAAACATTTGAGCTGGTATTTGAATAGTAACTACAGGGCTATAGGATAGGTAGTAATATCAAAGCTGAAGGGTGAAAAGTAACAGTACAGCTAAAGGGGGATGAGTAACAGTCACATCACATGAATGTAGTATCATCAAAGTCCGTCTTGTTCTTAGCGCGAGCTTCAAACAATTCTCGCACGAGTGAAGATTTTTCTTTCTCCAACAGGCTTATCTGGTCTTTTTTCTGGTTTACTTCCTGTAAAAAAATTTATTAGTGTTAATACATGCTGCTAATCTATAAACTGAAGGTTGAGTATAAAATAGTATTAGTGTCTAACTTACCTCCAACAAACGACGATTTTGTTCTTTAATACTGCGAACAGCTAAATCGTCATTTTTAGTGACAGGGGCTGCAACTGGAAGCGCAAGATTCATATGTAGAGGGAAACCCTGAAGAGTAGCAAAACAGATGATAAACCCCATCAATCTCAGAAAAACTGATGTGACTGTTAAGCATAATGGTGTCAAATAACAAAAAAAATCTTCTTGTACTGTATTCAGATGCTTGTCCACTTTTATAATCCAAGTTTATAATTTAAAAAAAAGAATATTAATAAATAAATGAACAAAATATCTTCTAATTAAAATATGTTTAAGTGTTTAACTCTCAAAAATGAGTTACGTAATTTTTAGAAGCACAGTTAAATAAAGTAGGATATCAGGTGTGCAAGAATGAATGAATATAAATTTCAGTTTATTAGTGTGGCATAAGTTATGTTACCTTTTCAGAACTCTCTACTAATGTATGCAGATGATGGTTGACTTCTGCGATCCTAGCTCGCTGGAAGTTCATTCGCTCTTGGTGAGCTTCAACAGAATAATCCTGGTGAAAGAAATACAACTTTTCAAGTGATCCCAAGGCCACTACCATAACTATTGAGCAGCGAAAGTTTTTACTTGCACATACAAACAATTTTGTTTCTTGTTTAACTTGTCTGTACCTCATAAAAAATAAAAGGCTATGGAAGCAAATCCAGAAAGAAAAGCTGGTTGAAATCAAGAGTCAACAGCCTATTTGGGGCATAACAAGTTGACACGTAGTACTTAACTGTGTTGGAGGAAATCTTTTCCAACATTACAATTAGGAACGAAGAGGAAGAAGTAATGCCCAAAACATAAACAAACTGAAATTGTTTATAACTTACATTGTAGTTAACTTTGTCGATCATGGCTTGCTTATCAGTGACTGACTGCATTTGCTTTATGTACCACTCTCTGGCCGTGTCAACCATGGACAAACCGGTTCGCAAGATGGCCATCTCTTCTTCCAGCTGTTTCATGCGTTTAAGCTATTAATTGAAAAAATTGTTAGTTGTATAATTGAGAAAAAGTTTGAATATGTTTTAATTTGCTTTCTATTTTTTTAAATATTAAATTTTAATAAATGTAGGCCTAATGCTACTTTATTATAAAATAAATTATAACTTTACTGGCCTGTTAATAAAAAGTTATACAAAAACTAACCATGTTCTGATCTATGCCATTGGCTAAAGTGTGTCTTCTTCCAGATCCATGACGCCTCACTGTGACCTTTGAACTTTGTGGGGGCTTTTCGTATTGCCTATTTTGAAAATCTTCTATATTGGCTGTAAAACATTTTTTACTGAAATAAATTCTATGTTCCATCTATGTTAAATGATATGTACAATTAAGTAAGTTATTTGCTACTGGAATCACTTTCTGTAACATCTGTAAATACTAACTTATAATTAAAAAAATGAAACCCTATTTACTATTTAATAGTGGTATCTAACTTACCATAAATGGTATTATCTTGATCAGAGTTAAGTCTTGGTTGATTCAGTTTCTCCCTATCTCTATTATACATTTTGTCATAGGGCTGATTAGAAGCCCACTCTTTTTGCCAGTTTTTCAATTCGCTCAAAATCCGAGTGCTGGCTTGTTTGTCTCTTGGGGGAACAGCTGGTGGTTGTTGAGGTTGAGAATGCAGGTCTGGCCCTGACAAAGATTTTTTTAACTGTGTGGTTTCTCTCACTCTTGATGGCTGCTCATTTCTTGGTGGGATTTGGGGTGGTTTTTCATAATGTGAATTAGGCAGAGGGTGTCGACTATTTGCGCTTTGATGAGATGAATAACCACCGTTTGCTTTTATTATTTTTGTATCTATCTTCTTTACTGGCTGTGAAGTATGCATGGTTGCTTCATGAACATTTGTTTGCCCAGAAGCTTTGTTGCTTTCTGTTTGGCGATTGCCATGATAATAATTGGAATCACTAGAGTCACTTGTTTTTGTGGGAACTTGCTGGTGGTATTGTCTCTGATGAGGATAATTATCTTGATCTCTGTAATTATTGCTCTGAAGAGCCCTTGCTCCATAACGACCCTCATTTCCAGTTCTGTTATTGCTTGTATCACTTGTTGTTCTTGGTAGACTTCTATCTCTGCGTCCATAATCATGATTTTCGGCATGAGGCAAACGATTTTCTTTCGACGAAAATGGTTTTCTAGCATCAGTTGCGTTTGCTTCTTTCTTTTTTGTTAAGACTAGCTTTAGTCCTGCTACAAATCTGTCGAAACTCAATAGGCCACTTGATGGCGTAACCTTTCGTAAACCGTCTACTACTCCTGGGGGTAAGCCCCGCACACCGTCATCACTCCATCTACTTTCAATATCCCTCAAACGTACAAACCCAGTCTGATTTTCATCTAAAATGTCAAAGAGTATTCTCAAAGATGAAAGAAATTGTTTTGGAAGTCCATCCCGGGCATCCGCTGGATCCTTTTGAGAATTAATATTAGAAATATAATTCATTATTATTTCAATCCGACTTGAGATTTTCACGTAGCAAAATTTTAATGTAAAATGTGGACTAGATTTAGATCTAGATCTAGATCTATATAGAATCTAGATGTATTTCTCATATTTAAATTTAAAAAAAAAACATGAGTTGGGCCTATAGATTTAGATCTATATTCCTTGCCATTGCAATCAACCCGAAAAATTCAAAGGAAAAGGGCCTACAGATAAACAGGTGTGAAATTAAATCTCTACTTTGATTGGATAACAATGGCAGCGTAAGCCAATAAGTTTATTTTTAAGTCCAGGTAACGTAGCCTCCAACCAAATTGATATTAAAAATGCAATGTGATTTAATCATTTAAAACAAAATTTGAGCCACTTACAGATATCTTTGATTTACAATTATTTTAATAATCAAATTATTTAACTGAGCAGCTGAGTTTTTTTTTTTTTAAATGTAATAGTAATAGTCAGAAGCAGGACTAAGCGAGCTGGGAATTAAATTAAAAGCAAAATTGCGAAATTTGATTCTACTACTACTACAGATAAGTAAATAACAAATTTAGTGCAATAAAATAAATACGTCAGTTCCTATTAGTAGCTTTTAAAATTAAATTAATAATATTACTGCTTTTTCTTTTTTCTTTTAATTGGCTGAATATAGATCTATTGATTTTTAAAAATAATGAGTGACTTTTCTTTAACTCACGTAGGGCCGTTTATAAGCGACACACGCCTAGTACTGTGGTTGGGAGAAATTTTGTGACGGGGGGGGGGGGGGGGGGGCAGAAGTGTTTTGCCTTTAAAAAGTAAAGTTATAATCTTAATTTCAGGCGTTAACTTGCCCTACTGATTTTTTAAAAATATATAAATTGTAAAATAGAAATCGATTGATGTAGTCAAAATTGAATGAGCTCATTGAATGTTTTAGGGAAAAAAATCGATATTATGAAAAAATTAAAATTGCAATATTGGGGATGTTGACACAATGAGAGGTACCGCACCGGGTGACTACCGACCTAGATCTAGTGACGCTACTAATGTGAGATGAAGAAAAAATGAGCACGACCAGCGTGTCGCATGCGCACATCCATCCTCTGCCCCCCCCCCCCCCCCCCCCCCCAAAAAAAAAAGCGTGACGTACTTTGTGGGTGACCAGTGAACACTAATCTTGGTAATATTGTGGGTTAAACTGCAGCTAGTTATATCAGCATAACAAGTACTATGTTTGTACGGCTTTTATCTGATATCCTCCCAACAAAGCAAAACAAGCGTTTACCCTATCTTTTAGAATTGATAAGAAATTCATAATTGCGTTTTTGTAACACAATAGTGAAAATTAAAATATCTATATATATAATTCTCTTCTTCGAGCCGTTAGAAAACAAGCTGCAAACGCTCTCCCTACCTCCCCACCCCTACATGGTTTTAGTGAGCTGTGTTCACTCTAAATGTTTACAAGCAGAGCCAACGATTTTAAACGTAGGGGGGGGGGGAGGAGGGGGGGGGGGAAGGAAGGGGGGGGGGTTATGGTCCTTAACGAGCTACTTATAGTGTTTTAAAGAAATATTTTCAGTGTCAGCGTTGGTACTGTCGAATTCACAAATTATGAATTATTGAAAATTAGAAACAACTAAATAGCGGCGTATGTTATGCCGCGGGCCGGCTCGTCAGGTCTATTTTAGTTAAAATGTTTAAAGTGCCCCATCCTCCGCAGAAAAAAAAAATGTCTGAAAAAAACACTGCTAGATCATCGAATTTTCGAATGTATCGACTTGCAAATAAAAATGCAAACCCTACTGATTGACTCGGTTTTTTCAATTTAGGCATTTATAGACATTCACTCTATGAATCCTTATAAATATATTTAAAAAATAACATTTATTTTTCTGAAACTAAATCTATATTATCAAAATATTATGCATAGTTTTAAAATTACATTTTAATGTGTTGGGCCTTGAATTAAAATCAGATTGAACAGTTAACGCACATTAGACCATCATTATCTACACTGCTTATAAAAATATTTTCAGCAAACGTTCTGATTCTACACGCCTTACCTGGCCAAATCTATAATCTGCATATTTCATTCACTTGCTTATCGTTCGTTAATCTTGCTGAGTACCCAAATATTTATAGACATTACAAGAGACCATAAGTACTTTAGTGATATAAAATATTGACGATAGCAGTGATACTGGTAATTTTTATTTCATTTATTTGAATTAATGAATGTTTTATGGTGTCCCGAAAATATAATTGACGGAAAAAATACAAAGTTTAGGCCTACTCCATTATTTTAAATTAAAAGACCCGTCGGCAATGTCAACAAACTTAAAAATGGCGTCTTTTGACAGATCTAAATCTAGAAAAAATTTAATAAAAGTACATCTTCTAGCACATGAATACAGTCCAGTTAACTAAATTGAGTTATTGGTACTTTTATAAGTTCATTTTAATTAATAATTGTTGTTTAGGCTAGACATTCATTAGGGTGGAATTTTGACAGCAGTTAAGCTTGTGTTAACAGTTAACACCACAGCCACAATCATGACAATGAATGTTAAAATTAAAATTGTTAATTTAGTAATCACTGTGAGTTGGTTAGTGCCATGCCATAGTCAGTTACTGAGTTAGAGCTAGTCTAACTAAGAAGACTAACTGTTTACTGTTTAGCTTAAAAACTCAAGTCGTTTTAGAATCTAGTCTTGTCTCTAGAGATCTACTGATTTAGTAGGTGCCATCTTAATAATTAACAAGTTAAGGCACTGTTACTGTTAAGGACTAGGCTTAAGTATATTAAGTAAGATTAATAATAATAAATAAGTTAATAAGTAAGACATAAATAAGGTAATCAATGGTAATCTATCGTTTTAGGTATGTAAAATCTGGCAAGGCTAGTAATGTGAATCTTTAAATTTTAGTAAATATTTCACGTTTTTAGGAGTACTTATGTTTGAAAGTTACAAAAATGTTTCAAAGTTTCATCAATGTAGATCTAGATCTACATGTTTTTAAAAAATTGTATTAAAACTTTTCAGTAAAAAAATAAAGACTAGTGATGTTTTCATCAGATGCAACCAAGCTCATTTACTTTAGTAGCCTAGTTTTCTTTGGTAAAATTATAGTTAGATATACAGGGGAAACCACTCTAATTTACAGATGGCTGCTGTTTATATAGCAAATCTTGTTTGCAAACACTGCTGTTTAACCTGAAGTTAATTTCTAGCCTATACTATATTGATATATTTTTCCATGATATATCAAAGCCATAAAAATGAGGCATTTTTTTTCACATGACTAGCCAATTTTACGCACCTAAAACGATACATTGCCAAGTTAATATTATAATATTAATTATTAAAATTAATGAGCTTAAGACGTAAGATATTGATACTATTGATAGGATTAATAAGAAGTCTAGATTCTTGAGAGACTTAGGCCTATAAAATATCAGTAGGTGAATAGAGTCATAAACTTATGCTCATTGTATCTGGGCAATTGCAGTATACTGATAATAATCATAAATATAATTGAATGGATTGCAGATACATTAAAACTTTAAAAGTTGTAATATCACTGAATATCAGGATGATTACTTACTGATATTACTCAATATTTTACTTACAAGTCGATTCATATGTATCATGTAATAATGCTTAAATAATTATCATCTTGTAACCAGTCAAAGTAATAAGTACCAAACAAAATCAAAGAACTTTTTCTTTTATGCAGTAGAGTAAGGTACTGGCTAGGGTCTTAGATTGTTAATGATAATGCATGGCTTAAAACAGTGACCTGCAACCTGATAAATGTGTAGCTGCAAGCTGCTGCTTAAATTTAATCTTGTGACTCATTTTATTCGGTAGCCTATGAAAGTGTTGTTTTCAGAAAACTAAATGTTTTTACATGTTCTGGTATCTGGTAACATTTCTGTTTTATAACTCCTGAACATATTTAGAAATAAAGGACATGATTTTTAAAAAGTTGTTTCAATATACATCATTAACTAACTACTTTTTTAAATTAAAAGTTAACTTGTCTTTTTATTAATGTTAAGTTTCTTATGTTGATGTACATTTTTTGTTGTTGCCTTTTTTCAGACTGTTTAAATATTGTTATTTAGTATAATACCAGCTACTTAAATAAAAGCTGTGTTACTCTTTGTTTATACTTCACTAGCTACTTTTAAAGGGAGGGGTTGCAGGCCCTTTGCCCAACCAACCTCTCTTGCATAGCCAGCAGAGAATAAGCATGATAAGTAAAGTTGCCTTTTCAGTTAATAGAGCAGGTAGAGTAGGGTTCACCTAATACACCTCGACCAGGCAAGAAATAGTATGGTCAGTTCAATGCCCAGCCACCTTAAATTTCCTTAACTTGAGAACACATGAGGGCTGGGTGGACTTGCGGGTGGAGTATGGACTTGAAATGGAGGAACTGAACTTGAGACTTTTAAAATAGTGATTGAGTGCTTGACCACCTTGTCCCATGATAAAGCTTTCACATATTTTCAACTTTTCAATTTTTTTTTTAAATGTATTATAAGGAGAAAAGTTCTCACTCTAGCTGTAAAATACTAGCCTGAATCAGAGATAATGCTTAAATGTTAGTGCAGGATAACTTAAAAGTGCCACAATATATATAGAAAGATTAACACTTCATCCCACTGGTAAAGGTAACATTACAAGCTAATTTATTTGTATTAATGGCTGAACATTTTTAACTGCCGACTCTTTAAACTTAAAGAACACAGTTAATATTTTAAATCGCTATTGCTGATGTAGACAAGATTCTGTAAAGTTGTTTTTTTTAATGTGATTAAAACTGCATGCTCAAGCTTTTATAGTGAGTTAAGTTCTGTAGGCTGGACTGTAAAATAATCAATAACCCTCCTGTCCTGTAAGATCAATAGCCCTCTTGTGCTTAAAAAATCAATTCTCTAGTTTGTGCTTGAGCAAGCTGGAAAAGCTTTCAGAGCATCCTTTGGCTTGGATCTTTTTGTTTACATTCTTCGTTAGTTGTTGGTTTTTTAAATTGGATTGCTGTTTATGTTATATTTTCTTTGATTTGTATTAGTTTTTCCGTAGAGTAGCAGTTGTGATGAGTGTATAATTTAACTAACCAGCTAACTGCATTTTATTTATTTCACACTTAACACATGATATAAAACTACTTTCACTAAAAGTAAATTAAAAATGACACTAGTTGGTAGTTTATTAGAATATAAATTCTAAAATATTAAAAACAGCCAAGACATTTGATTTAAGACTAACTTTTTAAATTTGTAGGTTCATTTTTTTTTGTTAAATTGTGTCAGAGATGGCACTGAAAAGGTGTTGAATGAAACAATCACAGGAAGTCATACATTGTTGATTACCTAAGGGTCTAGATAACACTGTGACACTTACAAGTGGTAGCTTAAGATGGGGCTTTAAATTCTGAAGTGGTGATAACACTTTTCATTTCTTGACTGTGACTCATCATCAGTGTAATACTAACAGTTGTAGTTTTTTAAATTTTTAAACACTCTAATTCAAAACAATTCCAGACAGTGTGAAACTAAGTTGGAATTTGAAATGTTTTCTTACTGCCAAATTGATGATGGTAAAGTAATATTTGAATAATGACTAGTAGGCCTATTTAAATATATGTTTATTCTCAATTTAATCTATATTTAAGAATCTTTACTGCTTTTTTACATTACATATTTACTCCAGTCAGTATTCTTCTTAGTTTAAAAAAAAAAGTATTCAAAGAATTCCGTGTCTGTTTTCAGCAGGTATGTTCATGATGGCTGAGGAAATGGAGACAATCGAAGTGGAGACAACTCCATCTACAGCATTTACCTCCCTTGTGACACCACAATCTGGAAAACTTGCATACTTTGATGTGGAGAAGAAAATTGGAAAAGGGCAGTTTTCAGAGGTGTACAGAGCCAGGTATAAGAAAGATGACGGGATGTCCCTGGCTCTCAAGAAAGTTCAGGTGGGTGTAGTCATTTAGTGTCAGCTGCAGCTGAATTTATAAAAGCAAAAATTTATTATTATTTCAATTTTATTATTATAGTTAGGCAGTCTTACTTAAAATCATAATACATGATGGAAAACATTTTCTGTATCATCTTCATTCCTTTCAATGTCGTATTAGCATGTTTTTAACAGTACTCAAAAATTTAAAATAAATTTAAATTACTAGACACACAGTGCTGTATTTAAATATACCTATGCTATGTTGATTTAAACATCTTTTTATATTCTTAACATTACTTTTTTGCTTTGCCAGATTTTTGAAATGATGGATGCTAAAGCAAGGAATGACTGTATGAAAGAAATAGATTTACTAAAGGTTAGATGTATATTTAAATACTAATTTACTATTTATTAAATTTAAAAAAAGAATGCTTAATGTTTTGATAATAATAGCTGATGTTATCAATTTTTAGCTTCTTTTTAATCTGCGTTATTATAAGGATGTATTATTTTTTAAGCAAATGGAGCTGGAAAATAATAATGATCTTATTTCTTTTAGCAACTGGATCATCCCAATGTTATAAAATACCTAGACTCTTTTATTGAAAATAATGAATTGAATATTGTACTGGAACTGGCTGATGCTGGTGACTTGCAGAGGATGATTAGGGTAAGATACATCATTTTCTGTAACTCTTTAAAACGTAATCTGTAAAATGGGGAACTTTTAACAGAGAGAATAATGTTCTCTTCACAATTTAAGTCTGATTGGTGTCCTTGAGTCCACTCAGCCCAAATGGATACCTGGCTTAATTGAGGGAAAACTAATGTGTTTTGGCCTGGTTCTAATTATACAGATACATAGACCACATGAACAGATAAACTACTACATCTGGAATATAGAACAACAGGCACCAAAGAGTACCTGTTATGCATTTTATCCATGCTTTATATTGTGTATATTATTTTCTTTATTCAGCATTTTAAGAAACAGTGCAGGTTAATCCCAGAAAAGACAATTTGGAAATACTTTGTACAGATCTGCAGTGCCTTAGATCACATGCACTCTAAGAGGATCATGCACAGAGGTAAGCTAAATACACTAAACCTTTTAACCAAGACAGACTATTTAAGTCACTTATTTGAAGAACATTACACACATGTGCTGATAAGTTTTAAACAGTTTTATCAAATATTGATTTGTCTGCTTCCAAATTAAAACATTAATACCTACTACAAATTGAAGTACAATCTGCTAAGGTATATCTGAAAATGTAAGGAAATTTGTAAATTGAGTTTTATTTAAATAAATAAAGAAGTGAAAAGATTGTTCAACTATCAAAAGCTAACACAGGTTTACCTTAACAACAGTGCACTCAAAATTTGTGTTATTAGTTTTCAAATACAATTTTTCATTTACTTATGTTAAACAGTATTCTTATTATGTGTTTACTTTTGTGTTGTTTCTTCTTTTAGACATCAAACCAGCAAATGTTTTTATCACTGCCCAAGGCATTGTCAAACTTGGTGACCTTGGCCTTGGTAGATTTTTTAGTTCCAAAACAACTGCTGCTATGTCTCTTGGTAAATTATTTTCTGTCTAGCTAATATTTTTTTTACACATGTCGTTACATATATATAGTTTAACAAGTAAAAATATTTTAGAATGAACCAATGCAGATTTCATAAGGTTTGTTTGAATAGTGAGAAAAACTGACTATTAATGAGAACTGGCTTTCAAAAATCATTAACCCTTTCTATGTTTAACCATAATGGTTCAAGCTGCCTCCTTGTGAACAGGTTATGTCACCTGTGCTTACATCATCATAGGTTAGATACTAATCAGGGCTAAGTTTTATAGACTGGAACTTTGAACTGCACTACCACTCTATCTAGCATGTAGCACCTTATATTTTGATTATTTCCACTTCAATGTAATATCTTTGAACTATAGCTACACAGTTTTATCTTAATTAACACAATTAAGTTTTCCACTATTTACCTGTCCATTTATCTTTCCAGTTGGCACACCTTACTACATGTCACCTGAGAGGATCCATGAGAAAGCTTACAACTTTAAGTCAGACATTTGGTCCCTGGGTTGTCTGCTGTATGAGGTAAGTCAGACATTGGGTCCCTGGGTTGTCTGCTGTATGAGGTAAGTCAGACATTTGGTCCCTGGGTTGTCTGCTGTATGAGGTAAGTCAGACATTTGGTCCCTGGGTTGTCTGAGGTGTCAGACATTTGGTCCCTGGGTTGTCTGCTGTGTGAGGTAAGTCAGACATTTGATCCCTGGGTTGTCTGAGGTATGAGGTGTCAGACATTTGGTCCCTGGGTTGTCTGAGGTGTCAGACATTTGGTCCCTGGGTTGTCTGAGGTGTCAGACATTTGGTCCCTGGGTTGTCTGAGGTGTCAGACATTTGGTCCCTGGGTTGTCTGAGGTGTCAGACATTTGGTCCCTGGGTTGTCTGCTGTGTGAGGTAAGTCAGACATTTGATCCCTGGGTTGTCTGTTGTATGAGGTAAGTGACATTTGGTCCATGGGTTGTCTGAGGTATGAGGTAAGTGACATTTGGTCCATGGGTTGTCTGAGGTGTCAGACATTTGATCCCTGGGTTGTCTGAGGTATGAGGTAAGTGACATTTGGTCCATGGGTTGTCTGAGGTATGAGGTGTCAGACATTTGGTCCCTGGGTTGTCTGAGGTATGAGGTAAGTGACATTTGGTCCATGGGTTGTCTGAGGTATGAGGTGTCAGACATTTGGTCCCTGGGTTGTCTGAGGTATAAGGTAAGTGACATTTGGTCCATGGGTTGTCTGAGGTATGAGGTGTCAGACATTTGATATTATCTTAATGTGGGTATGCCTTTTTTTAAAGTAACATTGTTTTCAGTATCGTAAAAAAACAGGTTTTTCACAGCTAAATATTTTTCTAATGTAACATTTTACGCCTTTATTTTAATGAATTCTTCAAATATTTCTTGTCTGAGGTATGAAGTGTCAGACATTTGATATTATCTTAATGTGGGTATGCCTTTTTTTAAAGTAACATTGTTTTCAGTATTGTAAAAAACAGGTTTTTCACAGCTAAATATTTTTCTAATGTAACATTTTACGCCTTTATTTTAACAAATTCTTCAAATATTTCTTTAATAATTGAAACTATTATTTTTATGAATTGTTAAAAACAGATGGCTGCTCTCCAGTCACCATTTTACGGAGACAAAATGAATTTGTTTTCTCTGTGTAAAAAAATTGAACAGTGTGACTACCCTCCCCTTCCTGCAGATTGCTACTCTGAGCAGGTAACTCATAGAATGTTTACCTATTCTTAACAATATAAAAAGATATGAGTCATTTAGTGATAATTGTGTGGAAGGAAAAAATTAAAGTGAAATCTGAAAATAATTATGTGAAAATGTTTGCATTAATGTAGAAGTTTAAAGAAAATATTTTAGCAATGTTTCTTCTTTGATTTAAAAACAAAATGATCAATATACTAGCAGGACCTAATATGAAAAAAAATTTCTTCCAGCTGCGATCTTTGGTCAATATGTGTATCAACCCTGACCCAGAACAACGTCCAGAGATCAAGTATGTTTATGATATAGCCAAGCGCATGTACCATATGTTTGAGCAGCGACAGCAAGTGCAAGTACAACAGCAACTGGGCAACATACAACCTTGAACCTCCATGTTGCAGATGGCTGTGCGTCAAAGTGTGTAGCCTCAGTCCAGTATTGTTTGGTACTTTATGACCATGTACTTGGTTACTTTAGTAATGTTTTACCTCCTTAAAAAGCTACTGTGATGTAAGAGATTCAATTTAACTTTTAAAAAAAAATAATTCAATTTAAGCAGGTTAGCCAACTATTATTTAAGCACTAATAAATCTTGTTGCTTATTTACTAAATTGTGTAAAAAAATATTTTTTTTATCAAAGTACTTTAAAGAACTAACAAATCTTTTTTTAAATGAGTTTTCCTTTTTAAATTCAAATAAGATTTTTTGGATCTCTGTGACAAATTTTTGCCTTTATTGTAGTATTTTACTAATTATGTGTGTATAACAATGTATTACAATATAAAACATGCCTGTGAGAGTTGAGGTCCAAAGTTCATAATATGTGATATATTGCTAGTCATTGTGACAAGAACTCATTTTAAAATTTATTTAAACTTAATAATTACATTTAGAATCAATATCTATGGAGCTTTTAGAACTTTCTTTTTTTTTTAATAATAACTTTTAAGTAGTGCCTATTGTTTTAGATAGAATCTAACATAAGCTAAATATATATTTTGTCATGTAGACTTACAAATAATTCCTCTTTTCTTGCTGTAGTTATATTATTTATGATAAATATTGTTAAACTTTTTATCACACAGATTGTCTAGTAAAACAATTTGAATGAATGTTGTATGTAATGGTTTTAACTAAAATAATGACTATTGTGACATGTTAAAAAAGAATTTTTTTGAACTCTATTGAAGCGTGTATATTAAAACACGTAAGCAAAATTACTGTTAAGTGCTAAAGGAAAGTCACAGTGTCTTATAATACTTATTGTTTTTAGTTAACTAAACACGTATGTCATAATTTCAAATAATATTTATTTTACAATGATGTTTTAAATACACATTTTTAAAAACTGTAAATGTGTTACTAACCACTGTAAGAAAAAAAGTGCATGGATATATGAATTAACTGAATTTTTAAAACATCAACTTTTAATATTTTTAAGTATCAATTCTGCAAATTTGTTTTTTTTACATTTTTGAAGTATCCATTTGCAGACCTGCTAAATTAAAGTTACCCTTTCAGAAGTAGCCATCCATTGGGCAGATGAAGTAGAATTTATATGTTTCTGTAACCTCGGCATATGAAGGGATAGTGTAGTCAAAACTATGCCCAGATGCCTTTGCTTTCCCTAACTAACATGAGTCAGGTACCCAACAGAGCTGGGTGGATGCCGGCTTGTGATCCAAACTCGAAACTTTTATTTTAGCAGTAGCACACTCTACTTGCTGATTACGCAATCCCATGGATTTTCTAAATCAACTTTTTTTAAAAATCGAGTTATTCCAGCCGACTTAACTATGAATTGTCATTCCACAGATTTCTAAACATTATACATATAAGCTGATTCTTTTAGCACAAACAAAAATCTGAAAATTCATTGTAGAGCAACTTAAAAATTAATTCTAAATTTTTTTAGCATGATTTGCTAATAATGAAATTCCTTATTTTATGTGTTAGCTGCAATATTGTTTTCATGCTTAGATTATCTATCGTGTCTACTTGGTTTATATTTCAAAGCTCACAAAATGAATGTAAAAAGATATTTTGTAGAACAAATACACCTATTTTGACAACTGACTCAAAATAAGACCTACATTTTAATGTTAATGACTGATGCGTTTGCTAAAGTATTTGTTTTTTATTTTGAATCATGAAATCCTGATTTGCATTCATGCTTATATATGTATTTTTTACTTTGTTTTTACTTGCTTACAATTGATTGGTTATAATCCAACAAAAATACTATTTACTCATTTACTTGCTTACAAGCAATCGGTCATAAGTCAACAAAATAAATTTGCTGCCTGTATATTTATTACACTGTTCAAAAATATTTCCCTAACTATGGTTATAGAATTTTGGGTAAATGTTTCATGTATTTTTAAAATAAATAATTAATTCTTTTATTCAGACAAGCCGTCCATAATAATTTTTATGCTCATTGTCCTTATTAATGCTAAGGTTTTAAAAATTATCTTCAAGCAATTTTGTACCTTCAACAAAAGCCTTAAGAAGTCAAGCAATGTTTCCCCTTCAACAAAAAACATTGTGAAGCAATTTTTAACTTCTTGCATAAAAAACAAGGAATGTTATATAACAATTAACTAATAATTTTTGCCTTTTTTTTTTAATAAAGTTACTGTCACTGCTCAAATGTAAATATAATTTTTAATATTGTGGTACCTAAACAACTGAGATTTGAGTTACTTTTCTCATAATGAAATATGCGTAAGTTAGAAGATGACTAATTAATTTAACAAAGAAATAATATGTGTAATGCAGTTAAAATACAGTTTTATCTGTAATGTTTTTAAAAATTGAAATTTACTTTCACGTTAAACCTTATTCTATTGACATTAAATATAAGGAATGTGCACTCTGAACTCTCTAGAGTCTTTTTATAAATCATTACACTAAAGAGATTCAGCCTTCATTTTGACTATATGTTTAAAAAATAATCGACAAAACATGATCTTTTTTAGAACTTAGAAAATATTGATCATAATACAATTGTTTGTTATTTTCTTTGGTTAATGCTATATATTTAATCTGCTAACATTTCTTGTTTATTAATCAAGTACCAATTATTTTTTTATCAGCATTGCAGTTTGATTTTAGAATGACTGGTTGGTCAAGACTTTTGCATTGACCACCTGTCTAGATTTACTTGGTTATTTAGATTGTTTTACATTATTATTTTTTTTTAATTTTCTACAATCTTAAACTTACAACGATGTTTGACATTGTTTTACATTTTATTCACTGCTTCCAATATTTTACTCTGCTAAAACTGGAACTTAATTTAAGTTCTCCTTTTTTGTTTTTAATAGCTTTGTTGATTTATTTGTTGAAATTTGAGTTTCTTATGAAAAAGTGTCAGTCTTGATTTTCTTTATCAAAATGTTTGCAATCATTAAGATATTGTTTGTGAATTTTTTTTTTTAGTATTTTAAATTAAAAATGTCTATTTGAATTTATTGATTGGAATGTATTTTTATATAACTTGTCAAAAAGTATTTTAACTTCTAGATTGAAATGTCTGTAGCTACAAAGTTTGTGTATAGAATGTCTGTATCCCTACCCTGATTTGTTGTATTAAATGTAGTTTTTCTTTCATAATTCAAAGAAAAAAATTCATTCTTCTATGTAATAACTGTTGTACTAAGTCAAAGAAAACTTTCTCGTCCAAGAATCTCACTCCCTCTATGGTGTCTGTATACTTTTTATCAGAATCATTGACATACTGTGGGTTTACTTGAATGGACAGTATTTTATTTATATTTCCACTGTATGTTTTATACAACTGATTTTACTTTGACTATTGCTTTTTGTTCTTCCATTCCGTCCAGTGAAAACCCCAATGTTTAAGACTAAATTTGTATCACTGCTTAGTACTACTACTTAACCTAGTATACAATTTAAAATTATTTTTGTCGGCCACTATAAATTATGTATATAACAGCCCAATGTTTAAGACTAAATTTGTATCACTGCTTAGTACTAATACTTAACCTAGTATACAATTTTAAATTATTTTTGTCGGCCACTATAAATTATGTATATAACAGATTATCGATTTCTTACCTGAAAATTCAGTGTTAAATTATGAAACAAGACTAAAGTCTGACCTGATGGGGAGTCGTGTGGTAGGGTGAGCAGTGCGTGTCACATGTTGATTCCACTCCACACGACCCCATCCCACCAAGTTTTTTTTTCAGTTTATTTACATACCTGTGATCAATGTTGATGCAACAGGAAACAGTTGATTTCAGCTTTAACTCTAACTGTGATTAACCAGAGTTTTGTTTTCTAATTGTGCTATCCCAGCATTCAAATAAATAGTCTGTTAAACAACGGGTCAGAAGATGTTAATGAGCATGATAAGCTTTCTCTATCACAATACTTATAAAATTATATGCTAAACAGTCTGTTAATTTAATTTATCAACTGTATTAACTATTTGTTAAACCCTAAACTCAACATTCCAGAGTGTATGTGTATAGACCTTTATGTGTCATTTTTGCTATTTTAGTTTTTGAACTAGTGTAAGGAATATATTAACCCTTAAGATCATCATTGATAGCATTGAAGTGCTTTTCCATTGGAGATTGATCAAGATAATCTGCTTGTAAACAAGAGTATTTTCTCTTTACATGGAGCAATAGATTTACACTACATTCAAAAGTCTTTGGTTTGTTAGCAATAGGTTATTTTTTATTTCCATTCAAGTCCTTGATATAAAGCAATAAAAAGAAAAGCAATTTAGGATTTGCTACTAAAGAATTTTAGTGGTACGTAAAACAACATAGAACAAATTACTTTTATAAAAATCAAGTGCAATGTCAAATGCATTTTATCATTTTAATATGCCCTTCAACAAATTGTATGCTAATTAGCACAAAGCAAAACAATATTTTAGTATCACCCCTTTACTATTAAATAACATTTTCAAGCCAGTATGTTTGGTTGGAATTTTATGTAAATATGTAGGTTTATTAGTCACTATAGGTTCTTTACAAATGATGCAAAATTTTGGCTACGTTTTTAGAAAAATCTGGTTATTTACTAATGTGGGTTGATATGGTTGTAACATGTAACTGGAGTTGTAGCTAACTCATTCACCTGTGTTACAGTTTTAAAAAATAAATAGATTGTTACAATCTGGAATGTGTTGTTAATTTGTCCTTCATGTTTTTTCTGTTCATTCTCAAGACACTAGGGGCTGATGAAGTAGATCATTAATTCCTATGTGGCCCTTTGGGATCTATTTGCTGCAGCGAACCTTTTTATCGTATTTGGTTTTGAGCAGCTCTCTTTATTTTTGACCATGTAGATAATGTAGAGCTCATCTGCATCCTTGACCTCAGAATACAGGGGATAATGTTGTCAGAGCTATGCCCAGCTGCCTTTGTTTCTCTAACGTTAGGTACCCTTTCAGTGCTGGGTGGACTACGACATCCAAACTTGACTTTAATTAGCTGGTGTGCTCTACCTCCATGGCACACAGTCTCATTAAACAAATGTAAGTTGTGGGAACAAAGACCAGACTGTGTAAGCCTCAACACCAAGATTCATGCTTCACATTAATCACAACTATCAACAAAAAGAGTTTTGAAGTGTAATGGTCTCCAACAGTGGCATAGCGAGGTCGGGTGTCACCTGGTGCAGCACTTAATGGTGTCACCTCCCAGAGGCATAGCGACCCTTCCCGGGGACAAACTTTCAAGTTTTCAATTTGCACCCCCCCCCTCAAACTTTTGATTTGCACCCCTCCCCTCAAGTTTTTCTCTATATATATTGCTATTTTTTGCTTTGGTGTCACCCCCCTAAATGGTGTCACCCGGTGCGGTCCGCACAACGCCCCCCCTCGCTACGCCCCTGGTGCCCAACTACCTGTTTAGTGTCCCACTATCTGGTACCCCACTATTTGTTTTGGTGTCTCACTTCTGATACCTCTGCATTCCACTCTGTGCTTACATCAACATGAAAACAAAACAACTAATGATTATGAGTAGAAGTTTAATCAATTTTGGCATCATAAAATAATGGACGGAATATGTGTGAACTTATTCATTCAAAACGTAACTATTACAAATTATTTTCAACAGCTCATTGATTTTCTTTTTAAGTTCAAATTACCAAAGTGTAAATCTATTAGACTGAAGTATAATTCTAATTACTCTTATGTATATATAAGTATAGAGGACCATTTGTTTAAACAACTTTGGAGTAAAAAAAAATAGCTTATAGAATTACAAAATAATATTTTTACTGTCAAAATAGTTCAATTTATTTGTAACTGGGTGGTACTCTTTTCATAATATTTGTATGCCTGTTAATTTGAGTTTTTTTTTTTTTAAAATCTAGCGAATCTTAATATAAAAGAAGTAATTTTTAAAACACTAGCCAATACTGTTAAAAATATATCTATTAAAGTTTCAAAAGGAACATGAGAATTCAACATGGGGAATATTATGCAAAGATATGTTATGCATTTAGGTATTAAATATTTTGTTGACTACTGACTAAAAAGATTATCCAAATGTTAAGCTACACTATTAAGCGAGATTTTAAAAATATTTGTTTAAAGTACAATTTTTTTTTCAACACACATCCACAGCATGGAGAGAACAAAACTTAAAATCTCTATGGCCTGCAATGTTAACCCTTATAATAATAATATGGTGTTTTTAAAATGCATGTTTTATGCCTGAATACTAGGATGGAAAATTGGGACATTAACCTACAAAACCACAACCAATATTTTGACTATATTTTTACTTATATTTTTACTTCCAATTTTATTTTCATCGTAGCTAATATAGATGTAATGAGTTACACTTTAAAAAAAAAAAATTAATATCTGAGGTATCTAGCACTGTAAAATATGATGCTATATCACAGATACATTTGCAGTTACTCCCTGAAGGATATAACAGTTGCTTTAAGTTTTATTCAGATTTTTGCTTTTCATTTTATTCCTAACAACTTTTCTGTGCTGTGCTAGTAGTAAGAGTTCCATGTCAGAAACATTACATTCAATCATCAGCTTAAAGGGACAGCACTAAGAAATGGTGAACATTGTCATGAGTTTAAAAGAACATTACTGTACAAGATATCACAAAAAATTGAACAAAATGACATATTTGCCATGGTCTAGAGGCTATTAGTACAGTATCTTAGTACTGAACATCAACCCTTGCCCTCATAGAACAAAAAAATATTTGTGCTCTTATAGATCGTAGTCTTAAATAAATAAATATTTTTAAAAGAAAAGCTTTTTTTTTTTGTTGGACTATAAAAATTTCACAACAAAAAATTAATTAATAATCATTTTTAGCATGTTCTTCATTCAATTTTCATTGGCAGATGAAATACATTATCAATATCTTGTGACTAGCTATACACTCTCTGTGTAAAATTTGATTTTAATAGTTACTTGAGTGCTAACTTAGAACTCTTAACAATGTGACATTGAATCAATAGACAGAAATCGGAATAATAACAAGCAGATTTTGATACAAAAAGAATAAATTATAAAAATATACATTTACAAAAAAATTCTATTATTAGTAGCAAGAATATTTTGATACATTTTTCTGTAACCAGCAGAAGTAGTGTAAAATAAAGTTTAAAACAACTTTTTAACTTTCAAGGTGGGAGACAGCAGTAGTGATTCAGAGTTGTCTTTCTTACATCTCTGAGAGTGTGATTATTGCAGGGTGCAAATGACACTTTGTTTTTTCTGGCCTGGCTTAGCTGTAGCTCGTCGCTTATTGGCTGGGAAATGATAATAATACTACACTTTAGCATCATCGTTCTCTCTACTACAATATATAACCCAAATGTCATGTAAATCACCCTAAATTATTATGTATTCATGCTTCAATTAAGCTGGTAAAGAAATAAATTTATAATGTTTAAATTAATGTTTTTTAAAATATTTATGAGCAAAATTTATGTTGCTTAGTAATCTGCCAGTTTCCCCATAAGTTAAAATATTTTCTATTTGTCAAGAGCCAAAAAAAATGTAGCTCACTCCAGGTACACATTTTCACCTCAGTTGAATGAAGATGCCAATACTTCATATAAATTCAGTGTGCGTCCTAAAGGCCTATACTATAGGTATTTATCATCTATTTTCTGCCCAAAACAGGTGGTTAACACAGCTAAAGACAACTTACCTTCCAAATATACTGCCCTGTCAAAATGGCCAGCAGAATACACCAGACTAGAAAGACAACAATTATATATATATATATATATATATATATATATATATATATATATATATATATATATATATATATATATATATATATATATATATATATATATATTTATATATTTGTATACATACAAAATTGAATAATATGAATACACATAATAATGATACAAATACATTATATATAGTGAACATAAAGTTATTTATAACACGTAAAAATGACAATAAAATAGATGAGAGAGAAAAAATATGCAGACAGAATATTGTGGTATGGGCCTAGAGCTCTATAAGTTGTGATATGTGAATAAAACCTTACTTGTCTTTGCCTGGTTGAATTCCAGTTTCATACCGACCAAACACTGGACGGTGGTCGGATATTTTTATCTCCATAACAGCATCATACTGCAGGCAGTTGATTTCATTTTTCTTCTTGGATCGAAACATGATGCGGTCCTGGTTGGAATATTCAAATACATGACATCAAAGAAAAGACACTTGACATTAAACAAAAACACAAAAGTATAAAAACTATCTTATTGTGAAAAAATTGGATCTTGTCCAGATAAGCCCCGCCACTAATGCTAAAAGTGCACGGGGGAAAAGTTAAGCCCCGCCAATTTTTGCCAGTTCCAATTTAATGCACGCACGCAACTTTATTTCTGATGTCTAGACATTTGAATATTTAACTGCACGACATAAACACAATTCGTTATCCACCTCTAAGGTTAGAACTAGGGTTAGGGTCAGGGTAAAAAACTAAAAGTACAAGTTTCAAATCTTTATTTGGGTGGCAGGGTTAACTATTTGGCGAGGCTTATCTGGGCACGATCCAAAAAATTGTGTTGCGACTTCTTTAAAAAAAACATTACTATTGGCAAGAACCCCAAGAAACTGTTGTGGGTTGTGTTTTAATCCATGAGTATATAATTATAACAAATAGATGAAACTTACTGTGTAGGATGGCACTCTGCTTTTAGCCGAGCTGTCATAGGAATCTTTATTGAGATCAAATTTAAAAGTTGGGTGAAAATTAATTCGACCTTCTTGAAATCCTCCAAATATTTTTTCTGTGGGAAAATAAGGTTTTGGGATAAAATTAGTTATTGTATAACATCAAACTGTTCACTGTTACAGTAATTTAAAATTGTTTTTTAACAATGCTTTGATATTGATTTCTATGATTAAAAAACTGTGCATCAGAACACTTGGTTCTATAAGAAAATTTCATCTTTCCTTGAACTACACAAAACAAGGATTCCAAGAGTCACTACTTCAGCAAATAGTAAAAAATAAATTCAGGAGTCAATAGATATTTGGCTGGTTCTATTTTTTAAGACAAAACGATCAAGAATTATTTTTTTTTTACCTTCAGTCATAAACTTTAGAAGCTGGTCACCCCCAAGCAGAGCCTCAAAGTTTGGAATTTCCTCTGATGTTATCTGGTCGACTTTTCTTACCACAGCCTGTCGTTCTCGCTCAAGGCGGAAGTTCAAGTCACCAAACCAGAAAACACAATCAAAGAAGGCACTGACATCTCCTTGATAAATAAACAGCCGATTAGATGTAAACAGCTTATTAGATATACTGTAAACAGCTAAATATAGAGGAAAAGACATTATTTATAAATGGTTCATAAACTTGAAAACAGCAAAGGACAAAAAAGTATATAAATGATTTCTGTTGCACTGTGAGTAAAAAAAGCAAAGAATAAGAAAACATAAACTTGCACAACTACATTCTTCACTGACACAATCAACCCACCTGGTTTCTTTACTTTCGGAGAACCTACGCTAGTCTTAGACTTGGGTAACTTCATCTCCTGGATGACTTTAAAGTAATCTGCTATTCTGTTTATCTTCCGTGAGGTGTCATTATCTCGATCGGCTACAATATAATAACAAATAGTTAAGCAAAAAGGTAATCTGTTTTGATTTAATTACAAGCTTTCCTGAAAAATTAATTAATTGTTGTCATAAAATTTCAGTGTGATATAAATATACATAAAAATGATGTCATGAAATTAATATGAAAATAATGTGTTACATGAAAATAATTTCTTCAACAAAGATTTCTTAAATCAACATAATTTGTTCAGTGCTTTTTTAACATAAAAAATAGACTCATTCACAAGGATAAAATACAATTATATTTTAAAGTTCATGTATTACTTCCTAGCTCTAAGCTGATTTTTGAAATTCATAACATTTAAAACAGCGATAAGTTGTAACCTACAAGTAAGGTGGCAGTTGATGAACAGATAGGATGTACCAAACAATGTCATGCACATCCCAATGGCCCCTTTTGTTTTCACCATTGTCAAAGCTCTGAGAGATATTATATCATCTTCTGGTTCTAAAATGTAAAAAAAATTAGATGTAAAACAGTCATGTACTTAGTGTTAAGTAGTAAACAGAGTAATTGCACTCAGTAAAACAAATGTAGCCAACACAGAATAAGACTAGCAGCTTAAACTATAAACTAAAACAGCACTAAAAAATATATACTATATAACAATGTACTAAATTTAAAAAATCAAATGTAGAATAGAGATTCATTTTCTTTATTCAAAAAAATGTTCAGGGTATATAAGAGCTAAGTTTATCTAATAGATTTATATTAAACTAAAATATAAATAAAAAAGGATTTTACCTGAGCAAAACCAGATAAGGTCCCTTCGAATAAATACAACTAAATGTAATGAACCATGTGAAACAGAATGGTACATAACGTGTGATGGGCCCAACGTTTCTTGTAATTTGATTTCCCACTCTTTCCTAAGGCAAAATCATAAATAAATAATGTATTGCTATAATTTGTAATGTTAATTAACATTAAAAATTTTAATTAAAAAAATTAACATTACTTGTTCATAGCATTTTCCTGAGTTCCTATGGCATAAATATCTTGCACATAATCACATTTTTTGGGTAGAATAAAGTCTTCTATTGTTTCAACATCCTTGGGGAATAAATCAATTTTGTTTAGTAGTAAATATTTTCATTTCAATTTATAATGTGCTAATATTTTATACTGTAGTTACAGTATCTGCATTTAGTCCGATATTAAATCTATGTAATGAAACTATTCCAAATATATGACCCATTACACTGAAAAAATCCGCCTTGTACCTTAAGCTAGAGATGAAGCTAAAAATATGAATAAGATATTTATTTAGGGGTTTCAGCTATTTCTAATTAATTATTTATATGAGAACACAACTGAGATGGAAGTTTTTTGTTTTTAAATGTTACTTATAAATTATTAGCAGTCAATTTAACTTAAGCAATACATACTTTTAGCTCATTCATGTTCCAAGTTCCAACAAAAACACTGACTTTTCTGTCAGGGAAATAGCGATCAAACTCATCACACACCAACAGGGTCGATGAACCTGTCCCAACTGGATAGAACCTATAGAATAGTGAATACATTTTGTAAGCAGAAATAAAGAGATTTACCTTCTATAAGTTTTAATAAACAAAAACCAAACAGCATACCTTGCCCTTGCTTCTTTGGTTGTTATGACTGGCAGGATACTCCCAGATGCAAATGACTTCTGGGATAGCCTGTCTCCCCCACTGTGAGGTCCTGATTCAGATTTTACTGCTCCATTCTGTGTCGTTTCTGTAGTTTTTGGTACATTAAAGTCTATTTTATATGATGTTCTAAGACTTTTGGAAGAAAATTCCTCAGATAGTGGAGGAGGGTGTGTCTTTGGACTGACTGGTTGAAGGCGACTTTTAGATGGCGAAGAAACTGATTTTTTCATCAAGGGTGTTTCTGATGTTAGTACTAATTCATCTTGTTTGTTTTCACTGTCAATATCTGTCAGCAATAAACGTTCGTACTGCGCATGTAAGGAATCTAACGACTTGTTAGAAGGATCTTTTTCTAGGGTCATATTGTCAAGATAACTGTGGTGATCTGCACTATCCAAGTCTCCTTTATCATGCGAAATACTTCTCTGCTTTAAAAAACTGTTTCTCTTTGTGTTTTTGGATGACTTGAGGAATTTCTCTCTAGGGGATATATGTGTTAATTGTGGTGGAATACCCTCATTATACGAGTTAGTTGAACTATTATTTATATTTGTGCCATTTAAACTAGTTAAACTACGATTAATTGGGGGTTTCCCATTCTCAGAGCCAAGACTCTTTTGTTTTAAGTCATTACTGTCTTCACTTCTATTGTCTTTGGAGTTCCTCCTTTTCAACAGTCGCTCACCAGGTTTGACTTGTCCTGGAATTTGTCTTGTAAACTTCTGTGATGAATCTGTAACAGCCTGGAGATTCTGGAGGTTGCCAGATGAACCTTTGATGTTTTCGTTGCTTTGGCTTTTTTCTTTCTTCTCTTCCACTTCAGGCTCATCTCCTGATGACCAAGGCTCTCTGTTCCTCTTCTCTCCTTTCCCTGGCAGTACATAACCTCTTGGTGTTCGAGGCGTTGATTTTGGTGTCCTGGGTGTTAGGGGTGGCTTGGGGACAAACATTCCTTGGGTGGTAGAAGTTTCACCTGAGTCAGATTTACCAATAGACATGAGATTTTTCTGATGAGTCACCTGTTCATCTGACTTGTTTTTCTCTTCCTTATCAACCTCCATTTTTTCTGTAAGGTCAAGGTCAGATTGTTTTCTGCTTCTTGGCTTGGGCCTAGGTTTGTTTTCATTTTTGGATTCTTCAACGGTTTCTTTTGGTTCTTTGGTTGAAAATTGTAAATAATCAGATTTTGCTGGTAAACCATTTGCAGTTTTATCAAGACCAGAAATATCTGAAACAGTGTTAGATTTCTGGGCTTGCAAAGATGTGTTGGAGCCAAACTCTCTCTGCTTTTTTTCTTTAAGCTTTGCTAGGGTACTTTTCTTTTTTGTACGCTGCCTTGTTGGGGTGCTCAAGATGTTCTTTTCACCTTCCTCATCAACATCATTAACCAACACTAAATCTTCCATTGTATATTTAGATAATCATCTCTTTTTGTCTACATAACAAATCAACTATGTTACACACCAGGGAAATAAAGCACCTGAAAATAAGAAACAAAAATTAGAACTTCAATTTCTTAAACTTAAAGTCAGAAATTTAAATATGACAAGAATGTTTTCAAGCAGAATACAAAATTGAAAAATCATTGAAAAAAGAAACATAATTTCCTAAACATTACAATTTATGAAGTATCTATTTTAAAAAAAAAAAAGCCCTCAAAGCAAATTCTGGATCAATAGACGTAGTGACAAAGAAAGCAATCGGGTCACATAATCTTGATATAATTCTTCATAAGCTGCACTGTAACACCTAAGACTAAAATTCTTGGCTCAAATTGTGATTTCTTCTTGTCATGTTCAATTTTAAAACCAGAATAATATTTTGAGAATGAGCTGAAACTTAAAAATTGGTGTTTATTTCTATAATGTGTACTGTAGGACTAATCACTTATGAAAATGCTTAATAAATAATAATAAATAGAAAAGATATTAAGTTATTAGATAAAATAAAACAAAAAAATAGGCCTATATATTAGCTAGTAGCATTGAATTTTTTATAATAATTTTATCAATTTTTTAAAAATACCATCTGATAGTGGTCACAAAATGCTTTAAAATGATACCAAATACAAGACTGTAGCTCATATACAAGCCGAGTTATTGAATTTAATAATTTATTTTTTAGTCATTTTACTCTAACACTAAAAGTCAATGGGAATTTCCCAAAATGGGGTTTATTTTGTGGGTGTTTTATAAAAATCATAACAATTATGTTATTGCTGATAGAATAATAGATTCAAAAGTTTATTAGAAAGGACATGTAGATGCAAGAAAATGATATATTAATTAATTACAAAAAGTTTGCATTAATTATGTAAATGAGGCTTAATGAGGTCAATAAACTAGGTCAGAACAGAATCAAAATGTATTATAATGAACAAATAGTAAGTACGCAGTTTTATTGGGTTTTAAGTATAATATATCTAGACTATTTTACATATTGTCTTATTAATTCTAACATTCATTTGTTTTTACATTGCTTATTTATTCTTGAAATGAATGTAGAAAAATTGTGCATTTCCAAAAAACAAAAACATACTTAATATTGCTTTCTTCAACTTCGCTTTGAATGTTTATAATAATATGACCGGCCTATCAGAATATATTATTATATTAAGAGTTGCTATGAGCTTCCTGAAATTTCTAAATGTTATGAAAATCTCTGGTAAACTTGTGATTTGATTAACATTTTGAAGAAAAAAAAGTCCACATAAAAAGCTCACGTTTTTAGCCCCTCATTAGCAGTGATGTTAGACCTATTTTTTAAAAATTGTATCTTGATAGCTCGTGGCTTGGTCCCTGATAAGCGTCACTACGATTTTGACTTTTAATACAGTTCCATCCCCCACCCCTCACCCGCAACTCTTGGTCGTGCTGAATGATGCCTACAATGTGACCGCTTCATGACCCCACCAGGCTGCCTTGTAACGGCCATGTAACTAGCGCTAGAGAACGGTCATTTACTTATGACGTTCACTTGTGGGAAGAAAGAGGGGGGGAGGTAATCGACTTTTGTCCACGCGCTTGTGTGTATGTATGGTGGAGGGGAGGGGGAGTCTTCCGGTCCATCTGGACGTCACATGTTGAATTTAATATTGTCGTTATTAGTACTAGCATTTTAGAACAAATAAAACTTTTATCCTGCACATAAAAAGTCAAATAGTAAAATTAAGACGACCCTGCTCGTGTAAAAAAAAACAACTTTAATCAAACCACGCCATTCAAACTATATAGACATGATTTTTAATTCTCACTTTTTAAAATAGAATAAAATCTCGTAGAAAAAATAATTGCACACCAAGTGTACGCCAAATAAAATGTGCGGGATATTATTAGTACTTTATAAATCTCAATTATTATTATTTTGCACGATTACAAGACTTTCTCTATACTTCTTATATACGAGAAAGTAAAAACTGCACTGGGGTCACCCATTTCATATGCGACGTCATTATTTTTTTAACGCCCCCCCCCCCCCCCCCCACATTAAAGTCACACACGGTCGCAAAAAGCCAGGACCCAAGCCTTATATGACGTCAAAATTCAGTCCCTCACCCCTCCCGTGACTATTTTTTTAACAACAGCAATTAAATTTTTTTTTTACCAACACGAATTAATGGCTTAAATTCAGTTTCTAAATTATTGCACAAGCGTGTGAAGCGAGTCATCACACTTTCCTCCTCTTCCCCCTCCTCACCTTTCGCCTCACGTTCCACGACCGACCCCCCCCCCCCCTCTTCCGCAGTGTAACGTCATTTATAGACAACCCCAAATTAAAGAATAACTTGTTAGTAAGGGGTAGATGAGGTAAACATAAAACAGAAGTCATGAATCTAATGAGATCTGGCGCTTTATTAACCTTACGATGCTTAATATACAATTATCAAAATACATCCCACGAGTAGGCCTACATAGTTTGACATTTTTTTTCACTAACAATAGTAACACTCTTCCCCTCCCCACCCTCCAGTGTGTGTTTAATAATTTGCAAAAAAATTTGTTGTTAATGGGAAAATCATGAAATAAATGATACATTTATACTTTGACATTTAAAACATACTAATTTTTCTCTGAACACTCTCGATTCTTTTTTAAATATTTAGACTTGAGATAGTAGGACACACACAATACATGATATTTAATTAGTAAATTGGAAGTAAATTTTGGTGGAGGTCCACATCATGGGTGGAGTTCGTCAAAAATGGGTGGGAGGCGGGGACATAAAAATCCTATAAACTTTCGTGGACGTCATAAATGGATGACTTCCATTTAAAACGCTACGGGTAAACATGTCGTTTTATGATGGATCCGAACCACTTAAATTAGATTCTAGATGCGTCACTTATTTGTTTTGAAAAGAGTATGTCTGCTTGAAAAAATAAAGCACCATAACCAAAAATATTCATGTTGGTGATAGTGACATCATTTCTTATTCTTTTAAAATAGTAGACCTACTTGTCTGAATGAAAAAAAAATTGCCGGTGTCGTATTCCCCCCCCCCCCTCCAAGAAGACACGATTGAGAGTTCATGGGGAGGTCACGTTAGTTTAGATACCACAATGCCCATTATATAAATTGAAGCATATTAGGTGACGTCACTTTTATCCCCCCCCCCCACCCCAAGCAAGCAGTATGAAGCACGTACTCGGGGTCACGTTAAGTGCACATAGCCCATAAGCTTAGACTAGATATCGGCGACCGTTGCTCCGAGGGGCGGGTTAGTCTAGCCCTCACAGTCACAAAGGTTTCAAGAAAATAAATGGAACATAGTATTACGTGGGGGGGGGGGGGGGGGGGGGGGTGAGAGAGAAAAAAAAGTAGACATAATTTTAAAATAAATTAATTTCCCTTACAACTTACATTCAAAATCCCAGCTAAAACCTTGCTTCATTATTCACCCTCCCCCGCTCTACACAAATATAATGAGTTTTGTTTATAACTGCTGAATTTTTATTACAATTCAAGAATTTTTTTTTAAAATTACGGCAATATTTTTCAACATCCCATGTATTACCCTTTTACTATTGCAGCAAAATTAATTGGAAATTGCTTTTTTTAAAAATTAACTGATTTTTAACAATTTTATTCTTATAAAACTATTGTACTTTAAATATTTAACTATAATGTAACCAAATACTTAAAATTAAGCAGATGTTGAATAAAATATTCAAAAAAATAATATGTGAATGCCCGGAGTAGTTACCTAAAAATACCATGTATAGTTACTTCCCTTGAAAATTTGAGAAAGTTTAATCAACCCTAGACAAAAAGTGCTTAGTAAATTTCAATTTCTATTCTTGCAATTATGTTTGAAAAAATATATCATATGAATTGCATAACATTTTAAAAGCGTCGGAAAGATTTTAATCTAAAGAAAACGAAAAATAAGGACTTTCAATGTTAACCTTATGGGCAGTGAGACAAATTTTTAAAAATTTGTAAACAAAAAGTGCTTAGAATTTTCAACAATTTTCTTTGGTAGATGAATAGATAAGAGGCAAAATTCAATATTAAACCATGTCACGTCGACGTCGTGTAACAATTAATTAAAAATCTATAGTAGTTTTTAAATACATTAACTTCCCACATCATATTTTTACACATAATTTGCTATTTGTTCGTTTTTTACTAATGCCCTGCCAGCATTGACCTCTTTCACTAATTATTTTGAGTTAAATCGTATTGCTAGGTCAAAACGGGAAGGAAAACGCCCGTTTGTTTCACTGTACCCAGCTTACGGCTCGTCAGCCATGATTTGTTTTTGTTTGCGACATAAACAGACCTGTTTCTATTGTTAGTAATGGCGGCTGCTACATCCTACTATATATTAATTATAATATATATATATTTTTAATAATAATAACCTGGTTTGAAATTAAGAGTTGTAAATTAAGAAAAAGAGTTTAGATCTGATTTACAGATTTATTATCTAACTGTGTTTGACTCAGTGAGTTGTGTGGTGTGTCTGAGTCCAATTGTTACTGAGTATGTTATGTTGTGTGAATCACTGAATCATCTGGGACTGGACTGAGAATGTCTTGTTCCACAAATTGTAAATAAACAACTGAATCTAATTTCAGTATAGTGTATTACCTATGTTTTATCGTTTATGCATTGGTGTACATAGTCTTATATACTATACAATTTGATATATTCTGAACTAAATTGCTCAAACATTTAATTTTTAATATCTAGCCTACTGGATTTTGAGGGTTGTCGAGGTAAACAGGAATGTATGAAGTTCTCGATGCGCATGCCTTACAAGAAAAATAACTGTTTCCTGTTTACTTTAACGACAATCAATAAAATATTTACCAGTTTTCCCTAAGAAAATACTGTAAAATCTAAATAAAAGGTATTTTTATAACTATTGGATACATTCTATTGTTAAATTATATTAGTGTATGCTTCAACAAGTTGTTGTGGTATGTCGCAACATGGCTGTTGAATTTATCAATTTAGCCTTAGACACCAACTTTACTCCTTTTAAACATGACAAATATGCGATGATTTATCATAAAACTACAAAATAAAAATTCTGACAAGATTTATATATTGATATAATTATTTTTTTTAAATAGACGAATTTTTTTAGATACACATTAAATCTTTCAACTTTAGTATTCGTAGTGTTTGATCATTACATTCAAAAGCGGAAGAGTGGGAGAGCGTACCTATCAACTGTTTCATTTATCAGTTCCTTGCTTGCCTCTCAAACTCAATAGTAGTGTGCAGTGCACAGTGCTAAGAGTTAAGAAGGGCAAGTGAACTACACCACTCACAATTCGCTATGTAGGAACAGAAGAAGAATTACGTTTTGTATCGAAGTAATGCCAGCAGAATGAACGAAGAATATAATGGAAAACACAGTTATAACTTGCATCTAGATAAACAAATACAGATAAAACTCCTGGAAGCTGATGAAGACATAGTGACTAAAGAAAGTAATTTAATCTTATTAAATTTAAATTCGAAAAATAATTTTGCCATCAGTTCAAATGATACCACAGCGCCTAACTGGATACCTGGACAGTGGTGTAGCAACTCTAAAAACTACAACGCAAATAGTTCTAATTCAAATACTTATTGTAGCTATTTTAATCAACAGCCAGGCAGAAATGTGAATTCACAAGATTTATGTGGTTGGCTTGTTCATCCTAAAGTAGGTTTACTAAAAAAAAAGACTGAGAATGATGCTACTTCAAAATCTAAAGTCAACTCAGCATTAAATAATAGGGATGTATTGTTATCACGAACAACAAAAAAGGGACCACCCGAGTTTGTTTTTAAACATTACTCTGACTCCAAGCGTTATATTGAGCAGTATAGAGAAGAGCATACTTATTGTGCTACTCCTAAATCTGTTGTCAAGACAACTGTATCTCCAAAGTCATTCTATCCTTGTGAATATGAACAAATGGTATCACAAGACAATGCTCAAAGTGTTTCCATATTGCCATTTGTTCAAAATGAGAAAACTATCACAAATACAGAACAACTTAATTTGCCACTACCTTCTTCATTTCTCTCCATCAACAAAAGAGAAAAACAAAATATTTGTGCCAGTTTTCCCAACAAATTTCAACAGCTTTATAAGTTTTCTAAGCCATTTACAAAGACTTTGGACAATTTTAATGGATATAGAGCTGATGAAACTGAAACAAATTATTCAAAAAATAATTGTTTTGATGGCTATCTTGCAAGACAGGAACGATCCATGTCAACTCCCACTATCACTGGGGTCTCACTTCAAAAAGCTGTGGCAAGCAAGGTGGTTCGTCCCAGCTCTTCAAGTAGAATAAGTATTTCCAATATTAAACAGACTTCACCTGAAAACGGGTAAGTAGTCTGCATTGCTTTAAAGTAATGAAATTTTTAATTTGAGAAAAATGTTTTCAGTTACCCATTCATAGGGATTGGTATTGGAAATAGTAAAGTGACATATTATCAAAGAGCTTAATATTACTGTTTGTAATTCCCAGTCAGACTGTAATAGGTATAAAATGAATCAAACTACTTTCAAAATTATTGTATATTTTTTAAAATTGTATGCTCCGTTACCCAGAATATCTTAAGGACTAGACATACTAGTTGTAGGAAAAAAACTTTTGAAATCTCCCAATGATAACTCAGTAGTTAATCCCAGAGAAAAATACCCTTCTGTAAATCTATATTGCAGGTGATTGTAGTTGTATCATCATGCCCACTTATTCATGCTGCAGATATTTCCAAATACAAAACTTAATTTGGTTTGGCTCTGGTGTTTTCTTTTCCCCTGGACGTTGTAGTCTAACACTTGACTTGTGATGTTGTCCTCTTCCCTTCTCAGTGCCTGCCAAATCCATCCCTATTTGTGGGCTTTAATGTTTATGTCAATCAGCAGTTGCTTTGTAGTTCACTATAATTGCATACATAAAAATAATACAGAAAATGGAAAGAGAGAATTGTATTAAAAATAAACACTAGTTGTTACTAAAAATTTCTCTGGCATCTAGATCCAGAAGCCAGTGCCTTATTAGTTCTTATTCTTTTAAAAGTGTCTACATCCCCCACCCAATATGGACACCGTATTTTGATTATCTAGATATTGATTCATGAACTTCATCTTTAGTGACCGGCATCAAATAGATTTGAAAAAAACTATTTAAATATTTTTTACAATGTTAAAATTACTAAGTCAAAATGTTTTGCTCCTCCAAAAATGTAGGTCAATATATGATGGTGTATTGACCAACCAATTCATGAGTCGTAAAATTGGGAGCCCTTCCAACAGTCAGCCCAGAGCTGTGGACAATGTGGCAGCTGCCAGTGTCGGTGAAAGACAGGTAATGATTTTTTGTTTACATCGCAGTGTAGTCTGAGTTTTAAATTGTTCTTGTTTTGAAGTGATAGCAGTCTCTGACTCGAAAGACTGATCAATGTGTTATCACAACTTCTTGTTCTAGATGTCTTTCTCAAGTAGAACTTGCCATGTTCTGGTGCTAGTGAACACATGAAAACTTTTAAAAGATGTACGCAAACATTCTTGATGTTGCCAGATTTTTAAGACAAAGGGAGCTGAAAAATCAAATTATTAAAAACTGACTGTTTCTTCTCAGAATTGTTTTTATAAACATTTCATTTAAATTGAAATAAATAATTTATCATACATAACTTTAATCACAAAATAATTTATTACAATTATTACCTTGTGTTTATTCATTTGTATTTGTTGTTGAACTTTATATTCTTAATATTTGTAGATAAATCTGTTATGTCTATTGGAGATAAAGTTAAAAGCTCTTGATTATAGAAAATATTTATGTATATGCTTAGAACAACAGAGCAAGACACCTGTGATTTTTTATTCAAACAGAAAAACTACTTCTGAAACTAATGCTCTAAAATTTCAAAAAGTTTAGATTGGTAATTAAGCTGCAACCAGCAACAAACCAAACATTTTAACTCTAAATGTCTTCAACTGTGCAAGCCACATAAAGCAAGCTCGTGCAGTGGCGTCACTACATTGGTGTCACTTGGTTCAGTAACTCAGGCTGACATTCTTCCCCCCCCCCCCATAGCACTAGTAAATATTATATTCTTTGCATATATATATATATACTGAAAAGCAGACCAACAGTACAAGCAAAAATGTCTCTGCAAAAGTAAACACTTATAAGCTGTGTCAATCTATTTTTAACTTAAGTATGCTAATTTAGCATTTATTCCTGGATGTCGACCCCTCACCTTTTTGGATAGTGTCCAGATGTTCAATTATTTAGTTAACTAATCAATTATTAATTTAATTGTAAAGTGCATTATTTTCCTTGTAAGTTTAGTGATTTTTCAACATGGTGTCACCTGGAGCCTCTAATATTCATCGAATCTTTTGAATATTTTTTTATATTCCACTGTTAAGTAGAGCAACAACACTATCAGTGAGAATACATGTATCATGTATAATAACAAGCAGATCAGTTGGAGAGTAAGGAATGATTAACAAGATATGTCAGGATATAAGATGTATTAATTAGTTCGGTTTGTGATTTCACAACCTTTTAAAGTCCTTAGAAATGTGGACATGCCTGTTTTTTAAAACTGTTTTATTGCATTGTCTAACTCCATGCTCTTTAGGAAGCACCACTGTTCACATGAAGTGCTGTTTCGCATGTGGATCAACCAGTCAACATATGATTTTAATTAAAGTATTGTCATTTTATCGGCCTTTTATGGGCTATCATTTTATTTTTGTAGGATAGTTTTGTGGATACAGTTCTTGTTTTGTGGTTCTGAATGCCATTTTAATTTCCTGGGGCGTTTTGTGGGTCTGATTTGGGTCGCCCGGGTCTTTTTTTGGGTCTTATGGCAATTTTCAACCTGTGTCGTTATGTGGGTCTCATTGGCATTTTATCAGCCCGGGTCTTATTGTGGGCCTGTTCGTATGTCCCCTGGTCGTTTATGGGTCTGATTGTCATTATGTCGGTCCGGTTCTGCTATTTAGTCAGCCATTAATAGATATGGCTGTTAACTATGACTTATGCCTCCAATGTTTTAGACACCCATGTCAACATGTTTACGCGCGGTGTTGTTTCCCACATGTACGTGTTAGAGTATGTAACACATAATGGCCGTTTTGATGGCCGTCTAGTGAACACTCCCTTAGACTCCCTAAAATACTCCTACTCCCATTGACGGCCAGCATATGACACGGGGTAACAGGATTGTTTTGATGACCGTCCAACAAACACTGTCATAGACGGCCAGCATATGACACGGGTAACATGATTGTTTTGATGGCCGTCCAACAAACACTGTCATAGACGGCCAGCATATGACACGGGGTAACATGATTGTCTTGATGGCCGTCCAACAAACACTGTCCTAGACGGCCAGCATATGACACGGGGTAACATGATTGTCTTGATGGCCGTCCAACAAACACTGTCATAGACGGCCAGCATATGACACGGGGTAACAGGATTGTTTTGATGGCCGTCCAACTAACACTGTCATAGACGGCCAGCATATGACACGGGTAACATGATTGTTTTGATGGCCGTCCAACAAACACTGTCATAGACGGCCAGCATATGACACGGGGTAACATGATTGTCTTGATGGCCGTCCAACAAACACTGTCATAGACGGCCAGCATATGACACGGGGTAACATGATTGTCTTGATGGCCGTCCAACAAACACTGTCATAGACGGCCAGCATATGACACGGGGTAACAGGATTGTTTTGATGGCCGTCCAACTAACACTGTCATAGACGGCCAGCATATGACACGGGGTAACATGATTGTCTTGATGGCCGTCCAACAAACACTGTCATAGACGGCCAGCATATGACACGGGGTAACATGATTGTCTTGATGGCCGTCCAACAAACACTGTCATAGACGGCCAGCATAGGCATATGACACGGGGTAACAGGATTGTTTTGATGGCCGTCCAACTAACACTGTCATAGACGGCCAGCATATGACACGGGTAACATGATTGTCTTGATGGCCGTCCAACAAACACTGTCATAGACGGCCAGCATATGACACGGGGTAACATGATTGTCTTGATGGCCGTCCAACAAACACTGTCATAGACGGCCAGCATATGACACGGGTAACATGATTGTTTTGATGGCCGTCCAACAAACACTGTCATAGACGGCCAGCATATGACACGGGTAACATGATTGTCTTGATGGCCGTCCAACAAACACTGTCATAGACGGCCAGCATATGACACGGGTAACATGATTGTCTTGATGGCCGTCCAACAAACACTGTCATAGACGGCCAGAATATGACACGGGGTAACATGATTGTCTTGATGGCCGTCCAACAAACACTGTCATAGACGGCCAGCATATGACACGGGTAACATGATTGTTTTGATGGCCGTCCAACAAATACCGCTTAGACGGCCAGCACCTGACTAGGTTGAATATGATTGTTTTAATGTCCGTCTAACCAATTCCCACAGACGGCCGGAATTTGACTGGGGTTTAACACGATTGCCGTGATGACCGTCCAACAAACACTAGACGGCCGGCTTATAACTAGCTATAACAATCACGACCAGACGGATCAGCGCATACATCAAGCTTTGTCGGTCGCCCTGTAATAAAAAAATCAATCTGTCATGTTTCATGCCGATTTTTTTTTTGTAGCACACGAGTCGCGACCTTCTAGAACACACCAACCTTGTCGCATACATTCAGCCGACAACCATGTTGCGTACACACACATCTACCCCTAGGCCCTTCACGCAACCATAAAGACGTCCACATGCGTCTATATGCAGTCAATGGACAACGCTACATTGAATAAGCAATACCGCTTGTACGACTAAGTATGTCGGTCTTGTTAAGTGTGCGGTCTTATTGAAATGATTTGAAACACAACGACCAGACAAGCGAAGTTTGAGACGTGTCAAGTAGCATATAGTATGTCTCCTTAAGAGGGGGATTAGATAGTTACAAATAGTCATGTAGAGTTGCAAATAGTCCTATGTAAAGGATTAGATGTTGTAACTAAATAGGCTACAAAAGCATGTGCTTATCTCAAGCAGACAAATGCACGCATTACCCCTCTATATACCGAGGTCACAGAAAGAAGGGAATCCTTTTTTTATATGCCTCTTTATCCGACAGTTCCGAAAAGATAACGTTAAATACACACACACACACATACACATACAGTCACTTTTACTCACATGAACATATACATACAGCCACTTATACAAACATAGACATACATTATGATACAGCCACTTATATAAACACGCACAACCACGAACATAGTACAGCCACGTAAATGTGCATCTAGTACTCAACTTGAAATTACCAGTTCGCATTACAAAGTCCCACCTTCGTGTACATTACCTACACGCTGTTCGCGTTGCTTTGCTATATAATTATACGTCTAGGTGGTCTGGGTGATTATTATATAGCAAAAAAAAAAGAATGGATTTTTCTTTGTTTCTTGTGTATCGATTTTATCGTTAACAAACTTAATGTCTGTAGTCTTATTTTATTTTTTTATTTTTTTAAATTTAGCCAAGACTGGTCTGTAGTCTAATTTTTTTTTTAACTTGGCCTGGACTGGACCGTAGTCTAATTTTTTTTTTTAACTTGGCAAGGATAAATTTCACGATAAAAGATGACAAATTTGGTACATGACGTTAGATAACCCTTGCTGAATGTTAGATAACCACTGCATTACCGTCGTTAGGTAACGCATGCTCCAAGTTAGATAACTCTTGTCTTAAACGTTAGATAACCACTGCTTCAAGTTAGATAACTCTTACTCATATATATATATATATATATATATATATATATATATATATATATATATATATATATATATATATATATATATATATATATATATATATATATATATATATATATATATTGCCTAGCATTTTATAACTCGTGCTCTGCGTTTGATAACTCTTGCTCTACGTTACTTTACTCTTGATGTACGGTAAATTGAGATAACTCTCGGTGAACGGTACTCTCCTGATGTGTTTTAGATTGTGCCCGACTTAAGTTAAAAACTGTACACTAAAGTTAAACCACGCTTGTGTAATGTTCCTGCACATTTTCCCCCAGCCCGACTGGTTCGAAGTTCCACTCTGTTTGTTTTAGTGCACACATTCATTTGACTAATTATTCCGAGCTGTTCATGTGTGCAACAATCCAATTCTTTAAAGCCACGATCAAAGGAGACTGCGCGCTTTAGAAAAACCTTAGGTTTTTATTACAAAGTTTACACTACAATGCCTTTGTTAAACTTGCCTTTACTGCGCGTTTGTTATTGGTTTCTTATTTATAGTTTCCCTTCCTCTGCGAGAGTTATCGTTCTTGGCGATTCTAATTTTAATGGGTAAAACACATTCTATATATAAAATAAAAAATGAATTTGTTAGTTGTTGTTTTTTTTTAAATTAGATTTTACTACATTATTATCCGATCGCTATGACACTTTGGGAAATTGTTGAGGGTTTCTGGCATAAATTGTTTTAAATTATCTGACTGACGGCGCCCTGGGTTAGAGTTCCCCCGCCGCTACATTAGCTCCTGATTGTGCGTCATGTACAGGGGGGGGGGGCATTTAATCAACGGCCAAACTGCACAAGCGGGTCTCCA